AGAAATAAACTTGGGCACAAAACAAGTGTAGATGATTATGAAGGCATCTTAAGCCGCGTCTCCACCAAAGTTTTGTTGCCAACACAACAGTTGCCAACACGTGTTGTCAACAAGCGTCTCCACCGAAGGAACAACAGCGTATTCCTTTGATGTTGCCGCCGAAAATGGAAACATGTTTTGTTGTGTTGACAACAAAACTTTGGTAGAGACGTAGCTTTAGAACACACCGTTTTCAGCAACTCATTATTATTCGTAAACATCTTCATTAAGTAAAACGACTCTGATAAATCACCACAAACTAAATAAATATTTACTGGCTAGCATTGAGTTATACAAGGCTAGAGGAGCAAACCACATTACCGCGCGTCGAAAAAAGTGAAACCACTATCTAACCGCGAGGACGTAGCTTTGTAACCACTAAACCTTTTTATGGTAACATATATCTGTCTCACTTACACAAGTCGCGAAAACAATACCGTCGCTAAGATTAGATAAAGATAGACACACAAACGTGCAGTGACGGGTTGGTATTGCCTACTATATAAAATTTTACCCAAAATAAGCAATAAAATGGAGTTTTTTTGCTGCACTTATTTGTTTTTATTTTAAATATGTATCTTTGCTTATCCGATGAATAGGAGTATAACTAATGAAATGAAAGATTTTTTTTTCGAAGTAGTTTTATTGTACTAACTAATTAATCAAACAAAAAATAAATCAAGTAATAAAATCAATTTCGGGTTTCTAAACCAAGAAGATCTGCGTTTGAAATATGCATCAATTGTGAAAGCATCGCAAGTCTTTGTCTCCTAAATTTGGTCTCATGACATTAGCTACAAAAACTAAACGGTGTTAATCTGTAGTACTAATCCGTTTAAATAAACACGGTCGCCATTGCTTTCTTAATATGAAATAGGTAATAAAATATAATTAATAGACGATCATTCATGAATATTCTAAAATAAGAATAATTAATTCCTTTGTTAAACAAAGGTTGAAACATAGTTTTTTATTAAAATTTCCAAAATGGCTTCAACTCTCTCGAAAACCATGAAAATGACACCCATGATAAAAAAAATTGATACCTATTGAAGCCGCCATCTTGGATTTACATTTCGACAGCACTATCGGCTTCAACACCCTCGAAAACAATGAAAGTGACACCCAAGATGAAAAAATTGATATCTATTGCAGCCACCATCTTGGATTTACATTTCGACAGCACTATCGGCTTCAACACCCTCGAAAACCATGAAAATGACACCCATGATGAAAAAATTGGTACCTAATTCAGCCGCTGTCTTGGATTTACATTTTGACAGCACTATCGGCTTCAGCACCCTCGAAACCATGAAAATGACACTCTTGATGAAAAAATTGATACCTATTGCGGCTGCCATCTTGGATTTACTTTTCGACAACCATATCGGTTTCCACACCCTCGAAAACCATGAAAATGTCACCCATGACAAAAAAATTGATACTACTTACTTTTAGTACGTACTACTATTATTTATTCTGTGCTTTTAGAATATTGTAAGAAAAATCTCTTATTATTATTATAATCAAGTATTTAAGAAATTTGGTTATTCGAATATTGTGTATTTGTACAGCGATCTTTTTGAGCCGCTGCAATCAATCGAAACAATGTCCACTCACGACGGCGACTGTCGCCGAACTGAGTGAGTGAGTGAGTAAACTACTCTGTGGCTGTAGCTCCCTATTTACAGAAATAATTTACACACAAGGCTACCGAATCAACGAAAATTTCGCCATTTTGGAGCCGAAAAGATTAATTATAGCTAAACAAAACATAATTACACTGCCATTTACATTCAGTGGCTTCCCACATGATAGATGAAGAGATTAAAAAATAGATTGAGTTAAACAATTGATATTTTCAAAAGTTATCGTGTTTACAAGCCTTGGGGACATGATAAATCCACACCATAAGCCACTAAAACCCCTTTTTTATTTAAAAATAGCAATTAATCGATTTATAAAAAATATTAATAAGTTCAACAATCATTTATCTTTCTAACAATGTGCTTTTTATATCATTTATATGTATAATATGTGAAACGTTGGAATCTTAATTTTTAGGCGATAGTAGAACATACCTTGCGCTTTCGCTTAAGGCATGCAAAAGAGCAACAATGGGGTAGGCTTTCAAACTTAGAGATTGTTGGTCTACCAGAAAACTCAAAAGAATCAATTTCTGAATTAACAATCAAATAGCCAGCCATGCAGGAATTAAGCTTACAGATGATCAAATTGTTTTTGCGCACTGAGTTCAGCCTATGCAGAATATTGGAGGTCGCCCAAAAAACATTGTAGTCAAACTTCAGAATCGCACTATTAAAGATAATAATATTTCAGGGCTACGCAATACCAAAAGAATTACTACTTCCGATATTGGACTGGGTGGTCCAGCCAAAAGGTTTTTTGTTAACGAACACTTACCCCTGAGAATAACTAACTCTTGAAGATAGTAAAATCATGAGCAATGGCCAAATCATATAAATTTGTCTAGGTGAGAAACTGTCACATTTTTTTTAAGGAAAATCGAGGAGTTTCCTGCTATCACTATAAATTTCGAAAAAGATTTATTAAAAATTGTATGATAAGATTAATTTTGATAGTATTAGCATGCTATGTTTTAATATTTATAGTTACATATTTTACACATAAAACAACACTCACTATTTACACATCCATTATAACATACATACAAATCTTACATTCACACTCATTTTTTAAAATTAACAGTAATACTGAATATTTACACCAATATGCCCAATATGCCAATATACAAAAGAAATTTATAAGCTACCATTTCTTAACTTGTATAAAAATAAAATTCCTGTTTGTTGCAAAACCAGCCCTCACGACTCTTCAACCTGTATTAATTCTGTTGCATAATATAATTATTATTTACATTACTATTAATTAGTATGATAAATATAATTTTTATAAGTTAATAACAATACAATGGTACCTTAATCATTCTAAAAGTGCTTTATAACTTAATGTACGTATTCTATCAAAACATCCGTGGCTTGCGAACTAAAACTAGGCAATTTTGAGACAGTATAATTTGTAATAACTTCAATATAATACTCATTACAGACACTTGGTTGACTGATGGTATTTACAACGGTGAATTATGTGACAACAGGTACGACATATTTAGTTATGATAGAAATAAAACATCTCAGGGCTTAATAGATAATTATACCTAGTCAGGTCATAAATTCTGTCACATGTTAAATATAAAATAATTGAAACAAGTTTATTCATTATGTAACCATTTATATAACAAAATGAACTTAACAAAACATAGATTCTTATGACACTAAAGTTTATTCAAAATGACCTCCGTGATTTTGAATACAGGCCTTCAATATGCGCGGCCAGTCGTCTATCGCAGCACGAATGAGGTCCATGTCAATATCGGCGGGTGCCTTAATCAAGGATGTCTTGAGTGACTCCAAATTGGGATGAGGCTTTGAGCACGCCTTTTCCTCCAAGTGTTGCCATATCTTGTAATCTAACGGATTCAAATCTGGACTGGAGGAGGGCCAGTCTTCGTGTCAGATGAAGTCGATTTCACGCGCTGCCAGCCAGTCTTGTGTGCTCTTCGCTCTATGAGCTGGCGCCGAATCTTGTTGGAATACCCAGTGCCTGTTATTGAACATGCTATGAGAAACAGGTGCCACAAGGTTCGTCAAGACTGTATTTTGATACACAACTGCATTCGTTTTTACACCTTTCTCACAAAAATGTACCTCTGTTAAGCCCCAATAAGAAACTACCAACCATACCATGAGCGAGGATGGAAAATGACCTCGTTGGACACGCGGAATACGGTTGCTCGCTTCTTCACTACTGTGTGCGTACACCTTATCATTTTGTTTGTTGTAGCTCTCTTCTACGGTAAAAATTTTTTCATCCGAAAAAAGAATTTCCCCATATTTTTTTCCCGCGTACCGCTTCAACAAAGGGCGGCATCTCTTCAGTCTCAGGTCCATTAGACGAGCATTCAAACGATGTCCTGTTCTTCTTCGATATGCCCGAAGCCCTAAGTCTTCATTTAACACCCTTTTCACCGTGGTTCTGCTTAACCCCATCTGAAGGGCCAACAGTTTCTGCTTACGTTTGGGATTTCTTTGAATTCGCGCCTTCACAGCTTTTATCACTGCTGGAGTCCTAACAGACCGAGGGCGACCACTTCTTGACCTGTCATCTACACTAGAGTCTTCATTGTATCGTTTGATGGTACGATAAACGAATATTTTGGTTATATTAAAAATTTTCAGTATGTCAAAAATTTGAATTGGCGCGTAACCGCAACGATGCAACGCAATAACTGCAACACGGTCTTCTTTAAGCGTCCACTCCATATTTAAAAATGAGTAAAATTCTAAAAAGTATACAGTTTTATTTTCATGAACAATGCGAAATTCGAATTCAATAAACTTTTTTGTGGCCAGCATTCTAAAAGAAAAGTTTTTACCGTGTGACAATACTTATGACCTGACTAGGTAAATATACTTTTCCATGTTGAGTGTGAGTTTATGTTTAATGAAAAAGTAAAAGTAACCCTATTTTTCTAATGAGGGCAGAGTGGACACAGTCCGAACTCCTTTTCATTAATAAAAAAAATGTCGTCTTAAAGTATAGTGTCAGATTCATATACCTATGTTATACCTTAAATGTTAAATTTTGCATTGACGTTATAATAATATTATTTTTGTATTTTTTTTTACTGAAATTTCAATGCGTACTATTTTTTCTTTTGATTTCTTAGCAAAATACGATTTTTTTCAGTTTATGGTACGATCTCCTAAAAAATTAAGTTGGCAACCCTGAACCGTACCCCTGTCTGTATTATCTATGAACAAGACATCAAGACAACAACAACTAATTATTAACAAATTTCAAAATACTATTTTAAATAATACAATTTTATTCTATATGTAATTGCCGTAGTTTTAAAAATGGTCGTATGTAAGTTCTTTCAACAAGGCTACTGTCGATATGGACAAAATTGCAGATTTGAACATATTTACGGTTCTAAATACTCATATCATGGTACGGTTATTTAGTTTGTTTACCTCCTACCCTAAGTTATTAATTAATTATATTATATTACGATCAAATGTTTTGTGTGGTTTACTCATAACCTGCACATAAAATGTTACAGCAAGCTCGCCAGTCCAAACACAACCAGCGCAGACTGCAAATATCTGCACCGATGACCAGTTAGTCAACCAAGTACAGTCCGATATCCTTGCAGCACTCAAAGGTGGTCAGTGGATACTTTCTAGCTATGCCCCATTTAAAGAGAAGCCAGCATATCCAGGGCTGTCTGACCTTTCACCTGAAGAAGCCCGCTTGTTTATATATGAAGCTAGGGCTAACAACACTGTTGATCAAGCTGTAAGATATAGTTTTCATTACCGTTTAATAATTGCACATTTGTAAAATAAATATGTGTGGTTTTTATAAATTTATATGTATACATATATGTGAAATATGACTCATATTGGCTTCATCCATGATGTACATGGTAGTGCCACATTGCAACTATACATAACTACAGCACAAATGGGTCAATTAGACCAGAGTTACATCACACTCTCACAGAATACCAGCATAAAACAGCAAAATTATGCTGCTGTGTTTTGCATGGTGAGTGTAGTAATCCAGAGAACCGTTTTTACTGGTATTAAGGTATTCCATCTTAGTCCTCAGAGGTGGCAAGGATCTGCATTTTAATTCTTAATCAATGATAAATGTAGATGTCTATGGGCCACAGCATCCACTTACCATCAGGTAGACTGTGTGCTCATTTGTCCCCTTATTCTATAAAAAATCTATTCATCCATTACAGCCTATCAATTTCAACTGCTGAAACTAATCCCGTGATAGATTGCCTCATAAGGGGGATATTTGCCAAAGTTGCCATACTTTAAATGCAGGTTAAGAATTGCAGGTTTTTATTTCCTAGTTATTAGAAAGTTGCTGCTGCCCATCTCCATGTTTGTTCCTCTCTATTTCCTCGTATAACTCCCACAGAGTGATATGGATATTCTTACACTGTCACTACATTGTTGCAGTCAGAGGTGTAGCGTGGACTATTATAGACATGGGCGAAGTCAATTCAGCGAGGCCCCTTTTCTTTCGTTCCCAAAATCTACCTAATAGATCTATCCTACGAAACATGCTTTGACACAACATACCTACTCATAGCTATTAATTCCTGACAAGTCTCATATTCAGTCAATCTAATAGTCACGGTTTTTGAAGGTAGTTACAACGGCCTCGCAGTCGCAGTTAAGAAGGGTTTCTTGCGAGGCCTCAAACATATTCACACTTTTAAATTTGTGATGTTTTTTAAGTGATCAAATAAATTAGTTATGTGTAGTAGTCTGGAGGCATCGCATTTTAAGGGGCCTCGCGAGGCCCCTTTAAGCGTGAGGCCGGGGGCAAGGACCCACACCTAGCTATGCTATTGGTTGCAGTGTACAAACTTTGGTATATATGATTATAAAAAATATTTATTAAGATGTGTCCATACTATACTCAAGCTGTTAGAAATATGTGTAAACCTGTCACATGACACTAATATATCAAAAATATTCTGTCTGAGTCTGGTACTAATATGTGAACATGGGCTAGGTGCAGTGCAGCACAGGAGGAACCCGCATTCCAGTGTGATCAATAGATATTTCAGTCGGGTTGTATCTTGTAAATTGAAATTAACCTTATTATGCAAGTATGTTGATTTGTAACAATATTTGTGTTAAGGTAAAGAATTAAAAAGCTTTCTTTATATTTTTTCTTACCTTTTAAAATTTTAGTAGTGGTACGTGAATCCATTACCCCACTTTGTTCCATGGATGTTATAAAAGGCAACTATGGGATATGTCAATAATAATGTTCTCCAGACCGAGTTTCAGACACGGCAGCCAATAATAACAGAGATTAGCCATCTTTGTAAGAAAGGATTATAGTGTCCGAGTGTATGTGTAAGCACAAGTGCACTCTCTTTCCCTCACTCTCATAGTCAGATAGTACATTTATCCGAGATGACAAGAGAGATGAGGCACAGGACCAACAACTTTACGTTCTTTCACTAGCATACAGGGTGAAACACCGCCAATTTCCTGACAGCCTGGAGTCTGAGAATTTCTTAAGTTTAAGCTGTGTACATAAGGTTCATTATCAAGATAATCCCCCCCCCCCTCCTCACTTCAGACGACCGCGTCACGCGCTTGGCTGCTCCGTACCACTAGCAACATTTGTATAGACACATGATGACATGACATTATCTTCAAACTTGTTGTATTCGGGTTGTTATATTGTTGTTTAACATCCAAAACCGCTAAAGTAAAAAGATACTGAATAATGTTAGACTTACTTAAGGTGTATTATGTCAGATGTAATTCAATAAAAAAAAATTAGGGTCAGTTTATTTAACTTCTTTTTTAAAAACTGTGTTGTTTTTCAGGTAGCTTACATGGACAATCTATTTAAAGAAACCAGGTATAAATATGAACAGTTACTACAGCCAACTGCTAACACAATTAAAATCTTGAGGAGTCTGTACAAGGGAGAAGTGGTGTCTCCACAGACAGCAGCTGAAACGTCAGCATTTGCGACAACAAACGGTTCAGCGTCCTCCATTTTCAGAAATGCTTTAAATAGTGCACCTGTGATGCAAAATGCTAACACTTCTATTTTCAATCAAAATGCCAATCCAAGCATATTTGGTGGTCCAGCTCAAGATGTAGCAGCAGCAAAATCGATTTTTGCCCAAGCAAACCAAGCAACATTTGGACAACAGATTACAAGCTCCAGTTTCTTCCAAACAAACCCAAATGAAACCACACCCAAGTCTTTATTTGCACAAGAGAACCAAAAGCTGTTTGGTACCAATCAAACAACTTCAAATAACCCCGCCAGTATCTTTGCAAGTGCAACACAAAGTATATTTGGCAATCCGAATGATACATTTGGACAGAATAACACACCATTTCAAAGTCAACAAGGTAATATTTTCCAAAAACCAGATCAGCCAAAAGCTGACATTTTCCAAAGGGCAGAGCCACAAAATATATTTGGCATGGCCAACAATATATTTGAACAAAAGTCTAACACAGTTGATGATAATGTGTACAGCAAACTAGAGGAATTGTCGCAGGATGATTTAGAAGCTTTTAAGAGTAATGATTTCAAATTAGGTTTTGTACCAGAAGTTCCACCACCACAGTCACTATGTGTTTAATTTAATATATGTCTCATATTTTTATTTAAGAAAAGTACATAATAACATTGTAAATACACAGTTCTAGCAATATTCAACTGTTAATAAATATGGCAATATAACTTCAGTAGCTTTTGTAAGTAAAAGACAATATTTTGTACATTTATACAGAGTTGATAATTTATTTTAGACTTTCTGAAGATCTCTTTAGCTACATATTGTTAATTATTAAAAAGAAGTCAATAAATCATTAAAAAAAATTAATTTTATTATGGAATTCCTCTAAATTCGCCAAAAATATTTTTTTATTGTTTATATGATTTATCAATGTCAAACAAACCTTATCATGTCATTGTAGATGTCATTTATATATACATAAATATCATCATTATCATTACAGCCCTTTGCAAGTCCACTGCTGAACATAGGCCTCCCCTAAGGAATGCCACAAAGCATGGTCCTGAGCCACCTGCATCTGTCGACTTCCTGCATGTCTTACCAGGTCGTCACTCCATCTAGCAGGGGGACGCCCTACACTTCGTCCGCCGGTACGAAGCCGCCACTCGAGAACTTTTTTCCCCATCGGTTGTCAGTACTTAGAACTATATGGCCGGCCCATTGCCACTTCAGCTTACTAATGCATTGGGCTATGTCGGTCACTCTGGTTCTGTACATAAATATAACAACTAATAATAAGAGAAAATCTGATGTTAAATTTAGTAACAACTCCATCACACTGATTTAAAAATTAATTTAAAATAGATACATAATTGTGTTTTCGTTTGCAATTACTGTACATACCCATGAACCAATCTTATTTAATGAGTGTCTGCTGGATCTCCACTAAAATACTATAGGATCCATTCAGATTAGATTTTATTTTACTAATGACTAATAATTATGTGGTGGCCGTGTAAGAATATCCACTACCCATATCATCCTGTGGGTTGAATAAAACTATTTTTACGGATTTTATCGCGTTTAATTAACTTATTTTACATTCCCGACGTTTCGGTTGCTTTCCAGCAACCGTGGTCACGGGGGACTGAGGTAATTGACGTCCCGTTGTCAAAGTTAACACGGAGTACCTTCAGCTTTTTAATTATTAATTTTGGTCCGATCTACGCAGAATGAACTAACTGTGTCTTGAAGTCTTGCAGTGGTATGCTTGGGTTTAGTTTTAATTTTATGAATTACAGAATCCCAAGCAGGTGGTAGTACCCAGCCTCCCTACGTCAGCTACGTGTAGCACCAACGTTCCGGGAAGTCTGCAGTTTGTGATCATATCCTAGACGGCCCCCGCCATTACATTAGATTTGATAAACCACAAGTCCTCGCGAAAGAACATCGATTCCTGCCAAGGATGATACGTGAGGCTATTGAAATTTAAAAACATCCTAATTTCAATAGAGAGGGAGGCTGGGTACTACCACCTGCTTGGGATCCTGTAATTCATAAAATTAAAACTAAACCCAAGCATACCACTGCAAGACTTCAAAACACAGTTAGTTCATTCTGCGTAGATCGGACCAAAATTAATAATTAAAAAGCTGAAGGTACTCCGACTTTGCAAGTCCACTGCTGAACATAGGCCTCCCCCAAGGAATGCCACAAAGCACGGTCCTGAGCCACCTGCATCCATCGACTTACTGCATATCTTACCAGGTCGTCACTCCATCTAGTGGGGGGACGCCCAACACTTAGTCTGCCTATGTCTGTCTATGGTGCTAAAGCCCTTTCGGAAACCAGCTTGTTCGGGAGGCTGGAAGTCGTCAAGTCTGCGCGCAAGACGATTCGTAATGACTCTCGAAAACAGCACGTAATGCGACTCCGAAGGGAAATCAGTCTGTAGTTCTTCAAGAGAGCGTTGTCGCCTTTCTTGAAGAACAAGACCACCGCACTTCTGCTCCACGCCTCCGGTGTAATGCCACCATGGAAGACGGAATTAAAGAGCTTCTGAAGGACTTCAAGTACCGGTTTTCAACCCGCTTTCAGAAGCTCCGCTGTAATTCCATCCTCGCCTGGGGCCTTGCCGTTTTTAAAGTGCTGGAGAGCCATTCTAATCTCGCTTAGACTGACGTCCGGGATATCATCGGAATAATGTCGGATAAGACTCGCTCTTGGATCATTACTCACACTTGCGTGTGGCTCCAACGATGACGTGTACAGCTGCCCATAGAACCTCTCAATCTCACTCAAAATCTCAGGTGCCCCGGAAACGATGCTGCCACATTCGGTCTTCAGCTTTGACAGTTGGCTTTTTCTGGCAGATAGATCTCTGGCAAAGACTTTGGAGCCTTGGTTCCGCTTGATCGCTTCTTCAATACGAGCGGACTTTGGATCAGAGCATGAGGGGGACGGAGCGTTAACTTCATTAGACGAGACCTCTCCGACTTAATATTTAGGTTCAGTGTGCCTCTAACCATTCGGTGATCGCTGCCGGTTTTCACCTTCGCGATCACTGAGACATCACTGTATAGTTGTCATCTGGTCGTCATAATGAAGTCAATCTCATTTTTTGTCGAACCGTCGGGGTTCGAGCAGGTCCACTTCCGGTGGGGCTGCTTCTGGAAGAAAGAGTTCATCATAAAGAGTCCCTCTTTCTCCATGAAGTCGGCCAGCTGCTGGCCCCTTGGGTTCCGTTGCCCTATTACAAATTTTCCTACTTTCAGCTCACCGTTCTCTCTTGTGCCTAATTTTGCATTGAAGTCTCCCATTAACACAGTGGCTGATTTACACATTTGCCGCCAGTAGGCTATTCTAATTTTGCCGCCCCTACCGATTTTCTACAATTCGATGCCCTAGTTCACAATCATATCAATTACAATATTTTCTCAATGAAATTGTAACTTCATGATTTGTGCATTATCGTTCTAATTACGCCACCCTTTTCTCGTCATTAATATAATTAATGTGAACTAGTAAATCGATGTGTAAGTTCCCAGATTATCTTTACAACTCAGCGATTTAGTTAAGATTGCACAAGAAATAGCTTTTGGCTATATTTCTGAGCTAATAAAAGCTCAGTCATGATCCCGACATGCCGAGATGTTGATTATAGGTAGATCTTAGATAATATATCAGCCAGTTTAAGTAAAAAAATCAAGAAGCTTTTCTTACTCAAAATTAAACACCCGAAAAATTTGTCACTGGTGTACATAAATCCATGTGAACTGCTATATCCAAGTTTATATAAACATTTTGAAAATTCTGGTTCCGCAGGAACGAAGATAAAATTTTCAATGATCCAGATTCTGGTTTCACCAAAATTTCTTCAGAAGAAAGGTGGCATTGAAAATGTATGAATTCTTCAACTAAGTTAGTCTCTAAATCATTATGATACATTTCTTTCAAGAAAAGTGCTTTTTCTGTAAGGGTTGATCTTGATGACGTTGTTGATTTTGGTCCGAAATCAAAAGCTTTTTTGAATCAACACCTACTTACCATTTTTCTAATTCAGATACGAGTCTATCAATGAAGTCATTCTCATTTATTTATCAGGTGCTTCATCATATATATTTTTCCTTTCCGGTTGTATTTTCCCCCACGTCTTTTGCATACTGCTTCGACACGCTTAATTAGATCACTTTTTCTTGGAAATACTTAAACATTTCTCGTTCAGCTGCAAAGAACTGAAGAAGCGACAAGCTTCTGTGCAACATTCAGCAGCCGCAGTTGCCAGTAAATTTTAAAAGATGACAGAGCAAGGAACGAAAATAACAAAAGGTGCCTGACTTTGCATTTCAGCCATTGTATCCACACCAGACATGTTTACGGCATTATCATACTACAGCAAGAACCCTCTTCAGAACGTTTTTCCAATAAGTAATTTTCCAAAAAATTGTGCCAGAGAAGTATTTAAAAATCGCAGCAGGATTCAACCGAGACAGCTTTTCCTTTGGTTTTGAAGTGAATACATCTACCTGTTTCGAACTCAACGCCAACACGCAGGGTACGTCTTCAACAGTTCGATCCTGCTGCGGCGCCCACGCCTCGCTCGTTGAATCAATTCATCAGCATTTCCATAGATATACTACGTAGGGCAGGCATTTCTATCACACACTCAGCAAACGGTCATGTCACTGGTTTCTGCGCCACAGCCAAACGCAAATAGTACTAAAATTTGTCAACCAAGTAAAAAATGAAAAAGTTTTAGCCACAGATTCGCCGCCCCTAAAATCTGCCGCCCTAGGCTCCAGCCTACTCAGCCTGCTGGTAAATCCGCCACTGCATTAACACCGTATATTGGGTTTTGGAGGAATGCATGGCTCTAGAGATATCCTCATACATTTCCTCCACCTCCTCATCGGGGTGTGCCGAAGTTGGTGCGTAAACCTGTATGACCTTCAGCGAATACCGTTTGGTGATTCTGAGTATAAGGTACGCAACCCTCGTCGACACACTCTCAATCTTTACAACGTTGTTAACGAGAGACTTGTGAACGATAAATCCGACACCTCCTTGGGACAGATGGTCGCCCTCCCGGTGATAGAGCAAGTTGCCGGATTCGAGGATTACCGTTTCCTCCCCCTCTCTTCAGACTTCGGATAATCCTATAATATGCCAGCGTAACTTGTCTATCTCTTGTTCCAGCTCCACAATCTTCTCGTCAGTCATCAGGGTGCGTGCGTTGTATGTTGTCAGGTCGAGTCGTCGTAGGTAGCAATCGAACCTCCACCGGAGATTCTTAGCACCCCCTGCTCCGCCGTTACCATGGTCGCCACCGTAGCCAGGAATAGCGGGGTCGCCGGGGACTGGGGGCCGTCTCTTTGTAACTTTATCCATTTGGGGTATTTGCCATAGTTGCCACGCTTAGCGAGCGGGTTGGCAACCGCAGTTTTTTTATTGTATTTTGCTGTTATCAGGAAGATGCTGCTGCCCATCTCCTGCCTGTTTCCCTTTGTCGCCTTTTACGACACCCACGGGAAGATATGGGGTAGTGGATATTCTTAACCGCCACTACGCGGTGTTTAAAACTAGTGCAAATAAATATTTGTAATAAAGCCATGTAGGCTCAGCACTTGCCTTGAATTTCACAATACACGGTTGAGTTGGGTTCTCTGGGTATTTGGATGGAAAGACAGATGCCGGTGACTTATTTAACTCCTTTGCTGTACGCATGACGAACAATGTAGCAATCTGTTTGGTTCAAATGCGTGGTAAATCAACAACGAAAGTGTCTCCTTTATTTTTCTTTTTTTTAAACGTTAAGAAAATCCAAGTGTGGGGGACACTTTGATTTTCTCCTGTACCGTGGAGATAATTTACATAGGTAAACTTTACAAAAACAAACATCCAGACCGGGAACAATTACTTGTAAACCATACAAATACTTGTTCCGTGCGGGATTCGAATGTGGCCGTGGCCCTCAGCGCCGCAACTCATTGCGAAGCCACTGCGCCACGGAGCCGTCAAAAAAGGGTGGAGACTGACCAAGCGTCTGGTTGTGCGATGATTGTCCAAAATGAAAAGGAAAGGGAGGAATTCAGCTATGCAATTCCTGCGCTCTCTCCTATATTTATATTATACAGATAGCTGCAATTTTATGTGCTGGTTTAACACATCCTCAGCCGTGAGGGAAACATAGTGAGGAAACCTGCATGTCTGAGGAATAAAAACATTTCAAAGAACACTTTTATATGTGGTATAGCCATGCTGCAGCTATTAGTAGTATAGTTTGTAGCACGAATGGGTCGGCCCAACCGGGGAAGGACCACGCTCTCACAGAAAACCAACGTAAAATAGCAGCTCAATGCTGCTATGTTTCGTACAGTGAGTGTAGAGAACCGGAGATCCTTTTTACTGGAAACGAGGTATTAGTTAGTATACTGTCAGCATTCGTCCTGTGCGCTTATGTGTTGAAAATCGCAAAACGGTGTATTTTCGTAGTATTAAGAAGAAAAGGATGAAGTGTTGTGTTTTATCGTGTAAAAACTACTCAGATAAACGCTCTGATGCTATAGATGACATCACATTTCATTTGTAAGTAATTTTTACACCTAATATAATTAAATATATTCAACACTAGATGGTGACACTTTGTGTCATGTCACAGAATAAATAAGTACAGAAATTGCACTCTTTTGATGTTGACTGCTTGCCGACGTATTAAATAACCTACATAGTTATTATTAAACAGATAAATCGCGCACGCAAGCTAAATAAAATTTTATCGCTGCGCGCGACGGTCCGTATTACTTTGCATCTTTTCTCCTTACTACGTCACAACGGACTTTCCGAGGTTGCTGAGGGCTGTTAATAAAGAGTAAAAAAGGTAAGTTATTTAGGTAAAGTACCTATTCTGACTATAACCAACCATATTATCTATTATGTGAGTTCTGTGATGCCCAATGCATGCAACTTGCAAAGCCATTCGTTGGCAATCGCGATGCTTGGTTCGTATAGGTAGATAGCGTAAACAACAAATAAACCCGAAATACGGCTCCTAACAGAAATATGATCGTAATCTACTTAGTTGAAAATCTTGTAAACAAAGTTTTAATTTCAGTATTTTTTTTTTATACGATAAGGGGACAAACGAGCACACAGTCCACCTGATGGTAAGTGGTTGCTGCAGCCCATAGACATCTACATCTATCCTCTATAACAAATCAAAATGTAGATGCGTTGTCACCCGTGAGGACTAAGATGGAATGCCTCATTTCCAGTAAAAAGGGCCTCCGGCCACCTGCACTCACCAAGCGAAACGCAGAGGTAAACCTCTACTTCACGCTGGTTTTCTGTGAGGTCGTGGTACTACCCCGGTTCGAGCCGGCCCATCCGTGCGACAGCAAAAGCTGCCGCGTGGCTCTACCACTGTTAAAGTGCTATTATAACTTAAAATATATTAATTACAAAGACGAGTATAGATAGTAATAAAGTACTTAGGTATTACTTCTGTAAATAAATTATTACTTTATTAATTTTTCGCTATAAGTACCTATCGAACAAAAAAAATAAATAAATTTACCTTTCATTATACTTCGGTAACTCAAAGATTATATATCTGAATCCTTTTAATTGCTCATTAAGCATCCATCCCCGCAACAATTATAGTAGGAACGACTTAATTTATCAAATAGATATAGGTAATATACATATATTATTCTTAGATTACATTAAAACTTTTTTTAACTATTTTATCCTTCAATTAAATATACTAAATACTAAACAAAAACTATTTCCATAAGTATTTCAACTAGCTTCACTTTTTTTTCAGTTAATCCCCTATACCTGAGGTACATGAAACGGGGACTCTTTGCTTTGACCGGCGGTCGATATAGAGACGCTTAGGTGTTAAAGGAGTAAAAAAATTACCAAAAAAACGTGATAGCAATAAGTCTGCCGCTTCGACATCTTGAAATATTTAATAAAGGTTACCGAAAAATAACATTGGCAGACACCTATGACGATTTCAAGGTCATGGCAGACAGGTTGAAAAGTACAATTTTTTATTAATAATTTACGTTATTTCAATAAAGCTGCAATTTATATATTATATTGTTGATAATATTATTTGACATGTATAATTTTCACGGCAGACATATATTGTGGTTGTATCACCCAGGCAGACAACAAACTTCTGGGGCGTCTATAAGCGCGTACTGTAATAGCGCTCGCTCTAATACAGTCTCAGTTGGAGAGGACATCTGCGTCTCGGTCAGAAAAAGCAAGGCCGGCTTCGCCGTTTCGAGATGATAATGGACGGCGTTTAGGTTCGAGTGAAGTACCTACCCTGATGTTACAGAAAGTCAAGTGGCAGGGGTCGTCTTGGTCTTGTTGCTCAGCTTGCCCCGAACAGTTATTGTCTTGAGCGGAATTTTGCCCCCCCCCCCCCTCCCCACAGAATACGTGGTGCAGCCTGTGCACCCAGGAGTGGTAAGTCCTCCCTCAGGAGTGGAGTAGCTTGATCGTGGATGCTCAGCAAGGGATTTTCCATTGCCAGGCGTGTTGGTACCCTCCTGGGATAGTATTACATTTATTTCCGTTACCATGTTCAACGGGGGGAGGGGGGGGGGCTTGGTTCTCCTGCATACATCTTCCACTTCACGCCGGTATTCTGTGAGGTTGTGGTACCACCTCGGCTTGAACCGATCCATACGTGCAACACCACACAATACACGTTCGCTCGGTGAAATATTCGACTCGACCATATATGACATTCCCTATATAACATTGTAGTCTTTGGACTCGAGTGAGTGAGCGACGAGCGTGGTGAGGCGACAAGGCGAACTAATACGGTCGAGCCGCACGTGGGAGCGGGACAGGAAGTTGCGGCACGTCGCGCCTAAACTACATTGCAACATCGATATGGAACAATTCGAGTAGTTTTACTATTTATCGGTAGATATAGATAGTGTAAAGTGGGCGGGGCTTAACATCCCCTCACCCCGCAAATTGTCACGCGTTGTTACATAGTGAAAACTAATTACAATATCATTTGTATTTGATTCATGGTTGTAGCACAAATGGATCTGCTCAATTGTAAGGACCACATTCTCACAGAATACCAGCGTAAAATAGCATTTTAATGGTGATGTGTTTCGTACGGTGAGTGTAGAGAACCGGAGACTCTTTCACTGGAAACGAGGCATTCCATTTTAATCCTTGGAGTGAGAACAAATGCTACATTTTGATTCTTAATTGACGGATACATGTAGATGTCAATGAGACACAGCAACCATTTACGATCAGATAGACTGCCTGCTCATTTGACCCCCTTATCATTATTTATATCTTCATTAAAACAACTAAAAAAAACTGCCGTTGCCAGCCCATTTGCCAAACATAACAACTATAGCAAATACCACCCTATAAAGCAGAGGGATGTGAGATACGCTGAGTATTATAATCCTATAAAGGCAAGTTATTATTCCACAACAAAAATACTCCTTAAAATATATATTTACTCCATTTATATTACACAAACACCCCAAAGTCCACACATTTATACATGATCAATCTCTCCGAGATATATCTGTTTGTCGCTGGATGCTGAGAGCACGATTGGTTCTGTACGGTGGAAGTCGACGTCGTTCACGGCGCCATTGTGTCCGGGAAGCTTGTACAGTACTCGGCGGGATGTCGTGTCCCAGATGTACAGGAAGCGGTCTGATGAGCCTGCCGCCACCTGGAGATGATTGGTATACTTTAATTAACCTGCTGCTCCGGGTTTTATTTATAGGAGAGGAGGCAAACGAGCATGCGGCTCACCTGATGGTAAGTGACTACCGCCGCACATGAACAACCGCAATACCAGGGGAATTGCAGATGCGTTGCCGGCCTTTTAAAAACGAGTACACTTTTTTCTTTAAGGTCCCTAAGTCGTATGGGTCCGGAAAAATCGCTGGTGGGAAACGATTCCACAAAGAAGTTGCGCGAGGTAGAAAACTTCTTCTAAATGGCACAGTGATGGACCGCCAATCATCCAGATGGTATGGATGGTATCACGAGTTTAGTCGCGATGTGCGATGGTGAAATGGTGTAGTCCGTGTGATGGAATGAGTCCTGGATGAATGGAATTAGTCCGAACAATTCCTCAGAGCACTCCCCGTGGTACATGCGATAAAATACGCAGAGATGCAACATCTCTACGCAGTGCCAGTGAGTCAAGCCAATCGGAAAGGACTCGTTCGTCGACTTTGCTACATAAAAATCAATTCGGTTTTACCAGGGGTCGCTCAACAACTGACGCTGGAGTTGAGCTTATTAAACATATATTTTGTGCATGGGAGAATTCAGAGGATGCATTGGGTACATTTTGTGACCTTTCCAAGGCCTTCGACTGTGTTCGCCATGAGACATTAATCAGGAAGCTACAGTACTATGGTGTCAAGAACACAGCGCTTAAACTTATTATTTCATATTTAAGTAATAGAAAGCAGAAGGTTATTATCAATGGTAAAAGTTCACTTGTACTAATGGGTGTTCCTCAGGGCTCGATTCTCGGCCCATTCCTGTTTCTGGTGTATATTAATGACTTACCTCACCTTGTAGGGGATAGTCATGATATAGTATTATTTGCTGATGATACTTCCTTGATTTTTAATCTTAAACGTCAATCATTTAAATGTGACGAAGTTAATAATGCTATATCAAAATTAGTGCATTGGTTTAACGTTAATAATCTGCATTTGAACGGAAATAAAACTAATTGTGTTAAATTTACAACAACGAATGTTAAAAATCTGAATACCAATGTGTTTTTAAATGGGGAGGAATTGAGCCCTGTTGTATCCACTGTTTTTCTTGGCATCACTCTCGACGCAAAGGAGGCTGGGATTTTGCTATGGGGAAATGCGGTTGATTGAGAAACTATTTTTGTTTTACAGAAGAGGGCCATTAGAGCTATTTACTATCTAAAACCGAGAGAGTCTCTTAGAGATAAATTTAAAGAAATAAATATATTAACTTTGGCCTCTCAGTATATTTACGAAAATTTAATGTATGTTCACAAAAACAAAGATAGTTTTAGTAAAAAAAAGTGATATACATTCTGTAAACACTAGGAACAAACACAAGCTAGTGATGCCAGTTTCTCGACTCCACAGAGTCAGTAATTCATTCTTGGGGCAATGTATACGCTATTACAACAAGGTCCCGGAAAGAGTACAGGTTCTCTCTATTACCAAGTTTAAATGTTTTATTAAGCTGAAACTGCATAAAAAGGGTTATTATAGTATAAATGAATACATGGTTGATAATAACCCCTGGGAATGAGGTGGTCACTTTTTTTAAATAGTTCTAATTAATATAATTATAAATCAAATTTTTTCAAATTTTGTAAATAGTTCGTAATCATTTATATTGTAAAATTTATTTAAAAAAAGTACCGCTGGGTTTCTTGCTGGTTCTTCCCAGGACAGAGGTTTTTTTTCGAACCAGTGGTAAAGTAAAAAATGACTTTTAATAAGAGAGAAAACTTTAAGAAGACTTTTACGTGGTAGAGCTATGCTGCAGCTATATTAGTAGTATAGTTGTAGCACGAATGGGTCGGCTCGACCGGGGAAGGACCACGCTCTCACAGAATACCAGCGTAAAATAGCAGCTTAAGTGAGTGTAGAGAACCGGAGACCCTTTTTACTGGAAAAGAGGCATTCCATCTTAGTCCTCAGGGGTGACAGCGCATCTGCATTTTGATTTGAAAACGAGGATAGATGTAGATGTCTATGGGCCACAGCAATCACTTACCATCAGGTGGACTGTGTGCTCGTTTGTCACCCTATCCTATAAAAAAAAAAGAATTACACATGTAATGTATATTGAATAAAAATTATTCTATTCTATTCTATACTGGGGAGCCCCTGCCGAGATGCAGAGATGGGAACAAGCCTCCACCTCCCATGGCCCCACCAACCTTGCGGTTATACGGGCCGAATCTCGAGAGATGCACGCGGTACTTGCTCTCTACAAGTTATTTAATCTATTCCTTGTCACGAATTGTCACTCTCCCTTTCTGGACTGGACGAACACACAACGCCTTCGGTTCCGGGCAAATTTCGTCCTTGCTTCTCCATCGCTGTTCTCCGCGCATGCCAACCATGCGCAAACTCCCGCAGCCAGCCAAAGCTCTCCTTACCGTCCACGAGGTCCGGGTAGTATACCGGACCCACCCTTCTGCGTACTATTCCGTCCATCCACTTACATCTCAGGTCATCATACAACTCGCACTACCATAGCACGTGATGCCTATCCTCAGCACCGCAATCTCAATTACCAGATTCAACCAATTTCATATCATGCAGTCTCTATCGAAAACTTCCATGCCCACTGAGCATCTGCGAGACTTGATAATCCGGAACCTGCGCCTTGTAAAGTTGCAAGCGATATGCCGGCATGAAATACTGTCCCGCTCTGCTGAGCACGCCAAGCTTTTTAGAGGCCAATTTGGCCTTCTCTTTCAAGTGACCACGAAAGTGCACGACACTCGATATGTCGACGCTGAGGATTCCAATACTGGCTGTGGCAACAAGGGGAGTGCCTTCAAACTGAGGAGATACGACAAAGGGGTTCTTTTTTGCTGGTAAACGCGCAAACTTGTGTCTTCTGGGGATTGAACTGGACTAGATTTAGTCGCCCCTAGTCTGAGACTTTGTTCAACAAAGTCCCGACTTCAGACAAGTTTTTTCCGGTACTCGGCGATGCTTTCCTGAGAAATATTGGCACGACCGGTGTATAAAGCATCACCAGTGCTGTCGTCTGCATAGCAATGAATGTTACTGGTTTGAAACATATCATTGTTATGCAGAAGAAACAGCGTTGGTGATATCACGCAGCCTTGTGGAATACCAGCATTAATGGACTTGTAATCGGAGCACGCACCGTCTACTACGACCTTGATGCTCCGATCTGCAGGAATACTGGCGATCCAATTGCACGATTTATCGGGAAGCCCACAGGAAGGCAGCTTCGAAAGAAGCGCTTTGTGCCAAACCCGATCGAAGGCCTTCGCTATGTCCAAAGTAACGGCCAACTCCTCCCCCTTGGACTCCACTGCCTCCGCCCGTCTATGAGTTAGGTAACCTAGAAGATCACCAGCTGAGCGACCTCGACGGAAACTGTACTGGCGGTCACTAATCAGCTGGTGATCCTCAAGGTACCGCACGAGCAGGCAGTTAATAATGCTTTCCATTACTTTGTAGAACAAGGAGGTGATAGCGATAGGCCTGTAGTTAGACGGATCTGAGCCGTCGCCTTTTTTAGTGATCGGATGCACCAAAGCAGTCTTCCATGAATTTGGGACTACGCCTAGGGAGTAGGAGGTGTCAAATAAGGTAAGCATTCATGGAGCATTTATGTAGTTTTTGGTTTTTCTCGTCATTTTCATTTGTTAATTTGACATGCTTCAGATGTGAACACCTATTAAAGTAAATTAAAACTAAGTATATTAGTGAGCTACGTTAGCTGTTAATTTTTAAAATAATTAAACCGTGACCTTAGAGCCATCAGCAGACCAGGCACAGCGGAGAAGGTTCTTCTCGAAGTTGTGCTGGTGGCCCGAGAGCAGTTTCACGCAGCGCTCCGATGGCGCGAACGGACGCACGTCCCAGATGCGGAGGGTGCTGTCCATTGAGTTGGATAACAGATATGAACCATCGTATGACAGCGACAGACCTTGGTTGAGAAAAAAAAAACATTACGTAAATTTTTTGCATGGTATAGAGACAAAAGTTTCTCGAGTGGCATTATATTTTTTTTATACAGTGACAAATTAGCACATAGTGCACCCGATGGTAAGTGGATGCTGTGGCCCATAGACATCTACATTTATCCTCGATTAAGAATCAAAATGCAAATGCGTTGTCACCCCTGATGGTTAAGATAGAATGCATTAATGCATTTACTTTCTATGAAATTGACTGCAGGTGCCCAGAAACTACAGTAGTATTTTACCATCAGCTAGATTTTAAGCTCACGTTTTTCTTCGTTGAAAATCGTTATATCCACTGTAGAATTTTCGCCTATATTGTGGTGGGCACGCTAACCTCCAGACCCGAAACAATTATTTGTAGGCCATTCATTCATCCATTTGGATTTGAACCCACAGCCCAACTCAATGCTAAGCGCAAGCCCTACTGGGCCGTCGTCATTGTTTGTCACTTCAGTTTAATAAAAAAATATACATATAAATAAAATTGAAGTGTCCATCTGTAATATTGAAATAACTGGCTAATTTTAAGCCCATGAAGTTACATAGCACACACTAAAAGTTGGGCCGTTCAAACACATTTGAATTTCGAATGTTAATTCTTTTAAAATTTATGTTTTGAAGGTTTCTTTATAAACTAGAGCTTTAATAACTAAAAATAAAAGACCACTTGAGATTTGGATTTTTTTTTTATAGGATAAGGGTGACGAACGAGCACACAGTCCACCTGATGGTAAGTGGTTGCTGCGGCCCATAGACATCTACATTTATCCTCTATTACAAATCAAAATGTAGATGCGTTGTCACCCGTGAGGACTAAGATGGAATGCCTCATTTCCAGAAAAAGGGGCCTCCGGCCACCTGCACTCACCAAGCGAAACGCAGAGGTAAACCTCTACTTCACGCTGGTTTTCTGTGAGGTCGTGGTGCCACCCCGGTTCGAGCCGGCCCATCCGTGCGACAGCAAAAGCTGCCGCGTGGCTCTACCACTGTTTAAATGCCTATTTCATCAGATATTGTTTTACTTAAAAGTAAGAAATTTGAATTTGATACCCTCTTCCGATACAGATCCCACTCATCAAACATTAATAATAATATTCTTCCATTATCACATTAACACAAAAGGCAGCAATGATTTTCAGTTAAATTAACAAATAAACAAAAGTGAGATACAGATAAATAAACTCACCGGTTATAGTATCCGTATGTCCCTTTATTTTATAAGACAACTGGTTATTCCTGATGTCCCAAACTTTGACCACATTGTCGATGCCCCCTGATATAATCTTCTCTGCAGTATCATTAAAAAGTACAGCTGTGACTGGGTAACCACTGTCAAATGAAGCTATGGGGTTTCTTTTTCTGGCATCCCATAGCTTTATTGTATTGTCATCTGACGCTGACACTAATAATTCTGGTCCTCTTCTTGCTCCTGTAAAATATATCAAAATGCTTAGTTTCAATTTCAGTGCACGCAAGAAGCATGCTCAGTAACATACTAAAATCTCTTTACATATAAGCAACATTCGATTTTTAATCTCATTCTATGGTAAATTTAAAATTTCATATTTTGCCTCTGTATGAATGTAGACGCATAGCAGATATTATGATTTATATTTTTAAATTCGCAAATGGTAATGTTCACTGTTCGGAGCTGCTAAGTAAGTTAGGCTTTACAATAATAGCTACTCTATTAGAGTAGAGAAGAGTAGAGACCACACCAATCGATCGATTGTCTATCGATGCCATTGATGAATGTCGATTGATTGGTATGGTAGCTTTAGCTGATCAACAGATACTGGTCAATAAAATATTGTTCAATCATTGATCGGATTCAGGAGTTTAGGTCGGTTTCCCGTCAGGCATATCTCAAAACTAGATTGTACAACCAGTGCGTGTTGCTATTGATGCCTTACGGATCTGAGATGTGGTCCTTCACTGCTGACCGTATGAGGAAACTTAAAGTCGCTCAGCGAGCTATGGAGAGGGCTGTGCTCGGCGTCTCTCTACGTGATAGACTTAAAAACGAAGATATCCGCAGTAGAATCAGAGTAACCGCTAAAATACTTCGAGGAAGGCCATATGGAGGAGTCGCTATTTTATGGCGAAAAAGTGTCTTCCAGAGTGTATCGGTAATTAAGTGTATTAGTTCACGGATTACGGCAGTGAAAATGACTGTTGATTACAGTTCTTTTCTTATTATCTGTGTCTATATACCCACGGACAGTAATGAAAACCTGTTGGAAATGACACAGTGCCTAGGTGAAATAAATGCAATTGTTGAAAACTCTGAATTAGAAACTGTTTATATTCTAAGAGATTTTAATGCGCATCCAAATGAACGTTTTTGTAAGGAGATGATGAATTTCTGTGTAGATCAAAACTGGACATGTGCTAACTTTGAGATAATAGGTATCGACTCAGGCTCGTATAGTTTTGTGAGTGAAGCTCATGGATGTAGGCGATGGTTAGATCACTGTCTCGTCACTCAGTCAGCGCTAAAAACGATAGCAAATGTTAACATTGACTATGGTGTCTTTTGGTCGGATCACTATCCACTCATAGTAGAAATAAATGTAAAATGTATAAGGTCTAAAGTGCAGCTTAATGTAAATAACTTACATAGTAAAGTTATATGGGGGACGAGACAATTAGATCAAATTAAAGTATATACAGAGATCTGCAATAATAAATTAAGAGAATTTTCCTGACGAATTTTTAGTGTGTGGTGATAAATTTTGTAATAACTCATATAATAAAATTTGTTTGGATAAGTTATATAATAGTTTTGTTAATATTCTAAGTGAGGTAGCAGAACGAACAAGAGAGGATGAGAGTGGGCATAATAGTAAAAAGGAACATTATATAACTGGGTGGAATAAGCACGTCATTAACGAACATAGGGAGGCTCGGCTAAAATTTCATATCTGGTTGCAATATAATCGACCTACTTATGGGTCTATATATGATGAAATGGTAGAAACTAGAAGAATTTTTAAATCAAAATTTCGTTGGTGTCAAAATAATAAAGATAGAATTAAAATGAATATCATAGCTACACATCATATAGAACATAATTTTGGGAAATTTTGCAGCATTGACGGAGTGAATGATTCAGAGGCCATAGCCAATATGTTCAAAGAACATTTTAGTGTAGTCTCCTCTCTGTTCTTTACAATAGATGGTCTATGCTGAGCCGAATCTAATAGAAACACCAATTAGATTTTCCCCTAAACAGGTCAGAGAGATAATAGAAAGTATGTCTAGGGGTAAGTCTCCGGGACATAACGGTCTCAGCAAAGAACATCTGCAGTATGCTGGTTGTCACCTTCCTCGCGTCCTCTCCATGTTTTATTCACTGTACATAAGTCATGTGTATCTACCCAGAGATTTGATTAAAACGATAGTTGTACCAATAGTGAAAATAAGACTGGAGACATTTCAGATAAAAGCAATTACAGGCCTATCTCTTTAGCAACAGTGACGGTATAGGTGCTCGACAGGCTACTAAGCAGATAGATAGATAAGTCAGATATTATACAGATCGCAAAACCCCGGTTTATGGATGCTTCTTAGACCTGTCGAGGGCCTTTGACCTGGTGTCGTATCATATTTTATGGAAAAAACTTGCCGAATGTAATTTTTCTAATGATCTTCTGGGTATCTTCCGCTATTGGTACAATCATCAAACCAATCGTGTAAAATGGGCAGATAAGCTTTCTGAACCGTACGAGTTGAAATGTGGCGTTTATTTACTATTATAAAGAGGAAAGATTTGTTTGTTTGTTTGTTTGAATTGAATAGGCTCCGAAACTACTGGACCGTTGTGAAAAATTCTTTCACCATTAGAATCCTACATTATCCCTGATGAACATAAGCTATATAATATTTTCAAAAAAGTTAGGGATCCGTATGAAAACTTCGTTAATTAACCCAAGGTGTGAAAAAAATACCAAAAAGAATCCTTATTAGAAACTATTGATAATAGAGCAAAGTAATGTACTTCAGTTTTATAGAGAATATCAATATCTACAAAAAAGTCTGCCATACCATATGTTTAACTATTACAGTTATGTCACAATAACTACTTTTGACCTTTGTACCTGTATCATGCATAACCACCAATTACGTTAACCATGTAATTTTAGTAACATATTTCACTTTTTAAATCTTTGTTAATTCAGCAACCGTCCGTCGTGATGTCTCTCTCGAAGTTCGCATGTGGCAAGGCGCAGACGCGTGATATACGCGGCTGAAACCGCGCGACACAGCTAGTTTATAATATAAAGAAAAGTGAGTTTGTGTTGTTTAAAGCTAATAACAAGAGTCCCACGTACATACCACCTATCAGACTCTACAACACTGCTTTATCGAGGGTATCACAATTCTTATACTTGGGACACTACGTGACCGAGGATTTGCGTGATGAAATGGACATGGAGAGGGAGCGTAGGGCTTTAGCGACCCGGAGTAATATGTTAGCCCGTAGATTTGCACGATGCAGTAATGCCGTTAAAATAACTCTTTTTAAGGCATACTGCCAGTCTTTCTATTTGGGTCAACTACACACAAAGGGCGTATAAAGCATTAAAGGTGCAATATAACAATTCATTTAGAGTTCTTTTGGGGCTGCCCCGCTACTGCAGTGCTTCAGGCATGTTTTGTGAGGCCCGCACTGACGGGTTTGACGCGATAATGCGCAAAAAAGCCGCATCGCTACTAAGCAGAACAAGGAATAGCTCCAACAGTATCCTGGGTGTTTTAGCACAAAAACATGATTGTCCTATAATAAGGCAAATTATTAAGGTCCTGCATGGCTGACTTACCTGTGTGTGTATGTATGTATGTATGGCTGCGAGCGCGCGCGCGCGCGCGTGTGTGTGTGTGTGTGTGTGTGTGTGTGTGTGTGTGTGTGTGTGTGTGCGCTTGCGTGCGTATGTGTATGCGTGAATGCGTGCGTGCGTGCGTCATTTTACTTTCTCCGTCCACCTAGCTGTATTATTATTATTATTTTGTGATTTTTCTAATTTCTGTGATATGGATCTTATTTGTTATCCGAAATAAAGATTTATTATTATTATTATAGCCCAAACTATTAGTAAACTGTAGTTTCAATGGGCCGGCCATATAGCTCAAAAAACCAACAACCGATGGGGAAGAAAGGTTCTCGAGTGGCAGCCTCGTACCAGCAGGCGAAGTGTACGGTGTCCCCCCACTAGATGGAGTGACGACCTGGTAAGGCATGCAGGAAGTTAATGGATGCAGGTTGGCTCGGGACCATGCTTTTTGGAGGCCTATATTCAGCAGTGGACTTGTGAAGGGCTGTAATGATGATGATGATGAATCATCGATCGACATCGATCGATAGTTAATCGATGTGGTTGTGGCTGTAGTTGTGGGCTCAACATCAGTGTCTTTCAAAATGTTTTCAGAAAAAGACGCGTTATTTTGGCCAGTACGCTTTTGCTCGTATTATTATTACGGAGACGCATAAGCAGACGATTCTGGAAGCGCCCGTTTTTATCGGTCTTCATCATCGAGTGACAATAGGGAGCAGTCGGTAGAGCGAGGCAGATTCTCAAATAATCAACTCGATAGAAGTCGAGTAATACTTAACTTATTTTTTTTTTATTGATTCCCAACATTTCAGGTACTTTACAGCACCCATGGTCATGTGATACGGACGTGTAATGTGAGCGTAAATATAAGAAATCATTATGACGTTGACTTATCCATTCTACTATCGATCGACGCCATTGACCGAAGGTCGATTGATTGGTGTGGTATGGTTACTCCATGTGCTGCATACCCCGACTAAATACTCGCAAAATTATTTTATGATACATGCATGCAGAACTTTTAACGAGATTTCTAATAGAATTAATTTGCACCTGTTTAAGGCTGCGTTTCCACCTGAGATGCTGATCTCTGCGAATGATTTGTGCTAGGGAACAAAACAAGAATCAGCGGGCGGTGGCGCGCGCGCGCGGCTCCCGCAGGGATTCTATTGGTTTTAACAAACATATCCCTCGCTACGCATCCTCGCACATCTCTGGTGGAAATGCAGCCTTATACCAGTGTTTTTCGAACTAATAATAGTTGAATGACAATTTTTTTTGTTAAATGTTTGTCTGTTAAATTTTGTTAATTTACTGTTTTTTTTATTTATCAATGTTTATCTTTTCTAGTGACTTCAAAATGGAGGAGGTATTCAATTCGACTGTATGTTTTTTTTTTATATGGGTTGAACCGATTTCGATTACACTAAAATTATTGTTCCTAAATTCATATTGTCCATGGCTTTCTGGTTGTTATTCATTTATATACTTTTTTTTTATAGGATAAGGGTGACAAACGAGCACACAGTCCACCTGATGGTAAGTGGTTGCTGAGGCCCATAGACATCTATATCTATCTTCGATGAAGGATCAAAATGCAGATGTGATGTCACCCTCACTGCCTCATTTCCAGTAAAAATGGGTCTCCAGTTCTCTACACTCACCATACGAAACGCAGCAGCGTTAAGCTGAAATTTTACGCTGGTATTCAACTAACTAAATAAATAACTACTAAAACCTATAAAAATGGTATTTCATTTGAATTAAAAAAATCCACACAGTAGCTTCTTTGTTACACTATATCTTGGCACCTGTAGTCTTTACAGGTATTATGAGGAAATTATTGTCACCCGTGAGGACTAAGATGGAATGCCTCGTTTCCAGTAAAAAGGGTATCTAGTTCTCTACACTCACCAAACGAAACACAGCAGCGTTAAGCTGCTATTTTACGCTGGTATTTTGTGAGAGCGTGGTCCTTACCCGGTCAAACCGACCCATTCGTGCTACCACCATAATATAGCTGCAGCATGGCTCTACCACGTATAAAAACATTACTGTGTAATGTTAGTTTATATATAGCTGAAAGTTTTCAAAAAAAAATGAACTAGCAAAGTGAACCTTAATTTACAACTTGGCTAAAACAATTAGGCGCATGACAGGAATGCGGTTTCGGCGCGCGCACTCCGCCTCTATCCCCGCACTTACCCTAGTAACCAATCACCGTTCCCTGTTCCCTCCCTAGTTCTAATGACGTATTAGCTGTCATGCGACTGATTGTTTTGGTCACATAATACAGTATTCTTTTTTATAAAACTGAAGTGACAATAGAACTTACATTCTGCCTAATTGTAAGTAACAACAGAAGCCCATGGACACATTCAGGGCTACAGATGCATTGTCACATGAACAAAGATGAAAAATGTGCAATTATCTATACTTAAATTGGTTATTCTACATTTCTATGCTTAACATTTATTCCCTCATATTGAAATTGAACCCACCTGACACAGAATTCACAAAACTAGCATGGCCTTTTAACTTCTTAATCCTGGTGCCTGTAGGTATGTCCCAAACAGCCACCGTGTTATCTGTTGCGCATGTGTACAAATGAGACCCGTCCGGAGAGAAACACAACTCCATAATAGCTCCAGTGTGTCCTTTCATTACCATCACATTTTCACATTGACCGTAGACATTCCATAGAACTAAAAAATCACATATTAATTATTTTAATACTTTAATACTGTTACAGACTCAAAAGTACACTACTGTATTTTGTTTTATAGAAATTGGGTTACAAACAAGCACATAGTCCACCTGATGGTAAGTGGAAGCTGTGGCCCGTAGACATCTACATTTATTCTCAATTAGGAATTTTATTTATTTATTTATTCTTTATTGCATTCCTTAAAACAAAAGAATACAAAGGGCGGACTTAATGCCTTGAGGCATTCTCTACCAGTCAACCCATGGAGTGGTTAGAATTTGAAGTAGGTGCGGCAATATAGAATAAAATAACACTACACAAAATAATAATTAACTACATAATACATACAATTTACTAATAAATAAACTATACATATATGACGTATACATACATATATACAAATATATGGCATATATATACATACAAATATACATATTTAAATACATATATAATTAGTACATACAAATACCTATGAATATATGTGTCTGTTTAGCAATACATATTAAATAGAATCAAAATGCAAATGCTTTGTCACCCCTGAGGACTAAGATGGAATGCCTCGTTTCCAGTAAAAAGAGTTGACAGTTCTCTACATTCACCATACGAAACACAGCAACATCAAGGGGCTACTTTACGCTGGTATTCTGTGAGTGTGGTTCTACCTTGGTCGAGCCAACCCATTCATGCTACAACCATCCATAATATAGGTGCCACATGGCTGTACCACGTATATAGGAAACTCCAAATAGATTGCCTCCTAGGAGGGATATATGCCATAGTTGTGGGTAGATTAGGAATCTTTTAATTTTTTCATTGTTAGTAGGAAGACTGCTATCAATCTTCTGGTTTGTTTCCCTCTGTTGCCTTCGACAACATCCACGGGAGAATATGGAGTAATGGATATTCGAACACTTTATATATACAATTAACTAAAACATATACTTGCAATTTTTATCACTTTGTAAGACTTCAACTTCATATTTGTGATTTGGATAAACATTGATTAATAAAGATCTCCAGCTTTGCATGAGTGATTTTGTTTGTATAATATGTTTGTATGTAAGTATGCTTAAAATGTGTGTATTATGTATTATTTAAAAATTATGTATGTTATGTATCAGGTGTAGAGTATATTATTTAGGTTATTTGTATGTATATATATATTTATTTTTGTATTTACATGTATGGTATGTATATTTTTATATTTACATTCGCATATAGATATTCTCAAGTTTTTATGTCACCTGCTTAAGATTCTCTGCTTAGCTTGTCGTTAACTGGTAGACAATGCCTAAAGGCATTAAGTCCACCAATTTTATATTATAAGTGCTGTAAAGGTTTAAAAAAAATTGTGGATTTCGACAACAGCGCCACCTACCGGGTCCAATTGAATTTTTAAACCATACACTCAAAATACAAATAAAAAAATTCATCAAATTCAATCTAGCCATTTTTTAATTTTTACGAGGCTAACGGACAGCAATTACTTTTTATATATAGAGATAAGTACATATGTCAATCCAAATTACAAAAATATATATAAAATACTAAAGTCCACATAGTATTTAGTATTAACAACTTACATATTTGCCTATCAAACCCAGCGGATGCCAAGTGCTTGCCCTCAGGATGGAATTTGGCCGTAAATATTTCACCCTGATGTCCTTCCAGTAGCATTATTGGAGCATAGAGGTTTGAAGTTCTTGGCACCTGATTTTTTATATTGGAATTAAATTTAAATGCATGTAATAATAATTTGTAAAACATGAAATGACAAAAAACATAGAAAATAATGGGAGCATTTTAAATCTTAAATGTATATTTTATTTAAAGATACAGCCTATATATGTATGCCTTATACCTTAACCTTAGGGTCACACTTGTAATCCCTTAGGTGTTAGTCATAGTCCAAAGAGTGGAGAGCTACTTAGTGTTTACACAAAAAATATGGTTTAGATGGAAATTATGAAAGAAATGATAGTTGGCTAGACCAACAACAGCACAATCCTAAATTCAGTATCCCATTAGTCACATTTTACGATATGTTAAACAAATAACACATTTGGCACATTCTTTTTTCATGTCCTACATAAACATAGGACCTATAAATGCAAGGCTAACATTGCGAAAATATTAACTCTAATGAATTTTAAACTGTTCTATAGATATTGTCGCTATCTTTTAGTCAAAACTTGGAAGTCAGAACTTTTAGAGTACTGTGATATTTACAGCGACCTTCGTAGCTCTAACTAATATTATTTAAAAAATGAAATGTAGTATTTCTTTTCCTATGTTACGAATATTACATGTAATTTCTAATTTACTATACCGACATTAGAGGTTACAACAGCCTTTTCTCTTGTTCCCACCACAGAAATCTCATGGCGGGTTTTTTTAGCAGGCACTACAGAATAATCGTCGGCTTTACGTTTTATCTCCATTTCTGGCATGTTGACGAAATTAATTATAAAATTCTTTTAATAAAATAATTCTTTTATGTACACAAACACAATTGTTTTGGTTTCATTTGACCATAATCATAAACCAATAGACTAGATTTGTCAACAAGGACAGGCAAAGGTCTTAGGACCATACATTCTTATCTGGTGTCTATTTTACTCATAAAATTCTTTAAAATATGTAAATACATCATATTGCTAAGTTTTTGAGAGATTTTGACGACGGTTTAACCCAGTAGACAGTTAATGACGATAGTATCTCAAGCCACTAAAGCAGATTCAACAAACGGTTTTGCTTCATATTTCATAATTCTGGAGAAAACATATTTCTGAAGCAAAACCGTGTAAAATTTAGTTAATGCCTTATCGTCTGCAGTGGCGGGGGGCAAGACCTAAACTTGATATGGGCAAGAATTCCGATCTTGACTACAAAAATCACTCAGTTACTATCAAACAAACTAATTACAATCAAACAAAATATAAATGTCTGTAAAAAATAATTTGCATTTCATAGAATATTATCAAGTAATATTGTAAAATATTTCAAAACTATTTGTATAAAGAAAACAGCAGATCTATGGGGGATTTCTGTTAAAGTTATTGCGTCTGTAATAGATGCGATCATACAATGCTAGTATCGAATCTGGTGTGTTTCCTGATTTAATGAAATAAAGTTATACCTTTATTTAAATCGGGCAGTTCCTTGAACCCCCACTAATTTTAGACCTATTTCTGTACTGCCAACGCTCAGTAAAAGTTTTGAAAAAATATGCTAGGTCAAATGGTAGGCTTTTTTAATGTAAATAAATTACTCCATAAGAATCAGTTTGGATTTACGAGGGGTAGCTCGACAACTGATGCCGGTGTTGATAACTCAGAAGATGCTTTGGGTATATTTTGTGATCTTTCCAAGGCTTGCGACTGTGTTCACCATGAGATAATAATCTAAAGAAGCTAACCCATTATGGTGTAAACATAAAACATAGCGCTTAAACTTATTATGTCATATTTAAATAATAGGACGCAAACAGTTGTTATTAATGGATGCAGTCCTTCCGGATCGATAGTATCTATGAGTGTTCCTTAGGGCTCAGTTCTTGATTCCTTTCTGTTCTTAGTTTATATTAATGACCTGTCCGGTGATCGCCACTATGCTGTTTCTAAATGTTTTCATAACAATTGTATAAAATATTATATTGTAAATTGTGTTTTTTAAAGTCTTGCTGGGTTTCTTGTTGGTTCTTCCGAGGACAGAGGTTTTTTGCGAACCAGTGGTAAAAGTAAAAAAAGACTTTCAATAAGTATTATTTACTGTAATCTATATTGAATAAAAATAATTATATTCTAATCTGTTCTATCCTATTCTATTCCATTCTAGAAGATTTTAAGGGTACAGTAGTAACTATAGGAATGTTAGTAAAATAAGATTCAAAAGTATTTGCTACATCTATATCATTACAAATGTGTTCATTTTTAATTTTTAAATTAATTTCAGATTCTCTTATTTTATAATTTCCAATTTCTTTATTAAATAATTTAATTACTTTATTAATAATTTTCCAAGTAAGTTTAGCTTTGTTCATCGAAGATTTAATTGTTTGTCGCAAATGTAATGCTTTCGCTTTATTACAAACTATTTTGAATATTTTAGAATAGGATTTTACATATTGTATAAATTTTTTATTATGATTATATTTTTAATACTATATAGGTCATATAACTTTTTTCTATTCCTATGTATTCCTACAGTGGTCCAATCACTAAACTTCATCTGTTTATAACTATATATTTAATTAATATATAATTAATTATTTGTATTATGTTTATATACTTAAACATTTAATATGTATATATACATAAGTAAATATATATGTATGTATATATATATATATATATATATATATATATATATATATATATATATATATATATAATATGTTTATATATATATATATATATATATTTATATATATATAAAGGTAATGTAATATATCATTCTACCTGACTATCTCTCCTGATCTGTAAACTTATGACCACCTTCATTACATTGAATTGCTTATAATTTTGCTTATAATGTCTCAAACGCTATGATGTTAATGGACGACAAACTCGTGCAACCTTTTGAGTATTTTCAATTCTAATATCTTTAAGGGCAACTATTTGTCCACAATGAACACATGTTAATTTGCTTATGATAGACTTTTATAATACCTCACAATTTGAAAATACATTATCCATACATATAGAATTTGTTTCTGTTATTCTAGTAGGTTCATGAAATTAATGTCGTAAATCAAAAGAATGAAATAAGTTGATAAGCCTGTTTCTTAAAGTGTTAAATTCTAGTAAATGAATATTGAAATCGCTATATACAACTACATTTTTTTTATATGTACATATATGTCTAAGTACTTCTTCTATTTTTGCTTGCCTTGGCGGGCTTGGGAGGATCCGTTGCGTAGGTGGAGTTGAGGCCGCGGAGGAAGGCACGCCTTGTGTTCTTGATGAGCCTTACTTGAAAAGGTGAAGGGCGAGGAAAAGTGGGGCCACGGATGTATGTGAAAGCATTCCAGTGGCCCTGCAAGTATGCAACGAAAGTGGAACACGATGTGTATTTCTTTGGTGCGAATCCGACGTAACACGTACTTGTCGGCGTGGCGGATATGTATAGGCATTTCCCCATTTAAAAGAAGATACAAGTCGCGGCACGTAAGTCTAGCTCTGAACGAAACGTGGAGGGGATGCGCGCGAAATGAATTGCATAAATGCGACTGGAAAGCCAACCAGCGCGTGCGAACAAGCCAATCAGCCAATCAGCGTGACTTATGCGCAATAAGCTAATCAGCGTGGCTTATGCGCAATAACGGTTACCGCTAGACTTTTTTGCTGCTATTTATAAGGAACATTGAGAGGGGCTTTATGGTGGTCTTTTAGATGAATTTTATAAAATAAAAACAGTTCTAACTGCCAAATTTTTGTTCTTAAAAATGCAAACTATATTCTATGACTAACATTTTAAAAAAATAGGAAAGTATTAGAGCAATTGCTTTCCGCCTTACTGAATACTCTTTAATTATTATATAATATTTATTAACATTTCTATAGAAATTCAGCATAAATTCTATATCTGCTTCAATAGATAAAATTCTAAAATCCTGACCGGTTTGAACGAAACAATACATGTCAAACGAGGTTGAATGGGTATTATCCTTCTGCCTTATTTATTAGAATAAGAAATTATTTTGTTTTGACTTTTGACTGAACTTGATCCTGATTCCTGATATCCTGATTTTTTGAATTGAATAAAAATTTCACAATGAATTACGAATTATTAGGACTACAGAGAAATATAAACGATATTTAAAAATGGACAAATTACAACTTACTTTAGCTATTATAAAACCCCATGCTGTAAAAAATCCAATAGCCGTTTCATACATCAGAAATATTTTAAAACGAAAGTTTGTCATTGTAAAAACAAAAAGAATTTTTCTCAATACTGTAGAAGCGGGTAATTTTTATAAGGAACATGAAGGAAAATTCTTTTATAACCGACTAGTCACTTTTATGGCCAGGTATTCATAGTAACAGTTACATTTAAATTTATTTGCGAATGGTTTAATAATTATGATAGTTCCAAGCTCAAATATTTGTTCCTTGGTCAAAATCAGTTATTTGATAGAAGAAATTCTCAACAGCAGTCAGGAAATTGCAGTGTTTCACCCCCGTGCAGCAGAAAGCACATAAGGCCTTTGGTCCTACAGCTGATCTCCCTCCAATCGTGTTGGATTGCAGACCAATCCGACAATGAGAGTAAGGAAATATATTGCACCTTTGCTGGGACACACACTGGTTCACCATAGTCCTGACCTGTGCAAACGGTCAGTCTCCATCAAAAAATGTTGTTATTTATTTACCAAATTTAATTGTGGTATTTATGACAATTCTAGATGTCTAGATGTCGATCTCCTGAGTTGTTTCCCCCGTCGCCTTTTACGACACCCATGGGATGTTATGAAGTAGTGTAAGTAAGTAGATACAGTAAGCGGTAAATGTAAATTGTTAATTAATGAAACAAGAAAAAAAAATTAAAAAAGTATTTAAAATGAAAATGAGACATCAAACAAGTCTCCAACTGAACATAATGCTGCAAAGGCGGTGCTGGTTTTCAGTTGGAGCTTTGTGACCTAACTGACAAGTCGGTGTGTGGACCTCAAATTGTCTAACAAATATATGTAACTATAAATTGCAGGCTAATTAATAATTACTAGCTAGAGAGTAGTGCTAATGAACACAGTTAATACACACATACTGAATAAATGCTATAGAGTAGTTGTATAAATGGTGTATAGTATATATTTATATTATATAATTTGTTAAATTTACAACTTTTCAGTGGCTGTATAGACTTACATGTAATAGGACATACAAATGCAATAGAGTTGTGGAGGAGGATGCTGGGCCCTACAAAAGTATATAAAGCACAATATCAGGATCCAAATAGTCTCAGAGGCATGTTTGGGATTTCAGATACAAGAAATGTTGCCCATGGATCAGGTATGGAAATATTTAATGCTAAAGCAAAAAAAAAAAGAGGTGACAAAAGGATGGGGAGCAGCAACTTTCGGATAACAACACAAAATAATCAGAACACGTGGTAGAGTCATGCTGCAGCTATATTAGTACAACAGTTGTAGCACAAATGGGTCGGCTCAAATGGGGAAGGACCACGCTCTCACAGAATACCAGCATATAATAGCAGCTTATTGCTGCTGTGTTTCGTATGGTGAGTGTAGAGAACTGGAGACCCTTTTACTGGGAACGAGGCATTACATCTTAGTCCTCACGGGTGACAACGCATCTGCATTTTGATTCATAGTCGAGGACGTAGATGTCTATAGGTCACAGCAACTACTTACCATCAGATGGACTGTGTGCTCGTTTGACACCCTTATCCTATATAAAAAAAAGCTGTGGTTGCCAATGCCGGCCAAGTGTGGACTTTTAATAGGCCGTAATAAATAAATGAATCTTTATAACCTTAGATTTGTATCTTCTAATGGGAATAAAATATGCTGTTGTGGATTGTTTAATTTTTATAGAAGTTTGTGTGATAAACAATCACACAGCCCACCTATTGGTAAGTGGATGGCATGGCCCTAACATATTTCTTTCCTCCATAATGGGTCAAAATATGTCTCCAGTTCTCATCACTTACCCTACAAAACACAGTAGCATTATGCTGCTATTTTATGTTGGTATTCTGTAAGAGTGTGATCCTTCACCAGTTAAGCCAACCTATTCAAGCTGCTGCCATAACAAGCTGCAATGTGACTACTGTGTAATGCATTCACTTTATTATACCATTAGGTTGTATAAAATGCTAGGAAATATAATTATTCATATGTGGTAGAGCCATGCTGCAGCTATATTAGTTGTAGCACAAATGGGTCGGCTCGACCTGGGTATGACGGTAGGACCACGCTTTTGTATGGTGAGTGTATAGAACCAGAGACCCTTTCAACTGGAAACGGGACATTCTATCTTAGTTCTTAGGACAGTACATTTGCATTTTGATTCTTAACCAAGGATAAATGTAAATGTCTATAGGCCACAGCAGCATCATTTACTTAGCATCAGGTGGACAGTGTGCTCTTCGTCACCCTTATCCTATAAAAAAAGATATGCCCCATCGCTACAAATCTAGTTTAGTACTACATAGCTCCAGTCCCTATTTAATGTATACAAAAGTATGTAACAAACTGCCTTTACATATAAAAAAATATGTTTAGTAAGTTTATTAAATTAGTAAAAGAATTACTTCTTAATAAATCTTATTACACTGTAAATGAGTACTTGGAAAATAAAACACTTTAGATGTCTGCCTCCTTTTCTATATCACTATGACTGAAGAGGTACATGCATATGTTTGTGCTGTATAATGATTATTATATAGTTATAACTTATAATATTACAAGTGATGCAATTATAAAATAAATAAATAAATAAGGTGTTGTATCACAATTTAATTTTAATTGTAATATTTTCAGATTCAACATCATCTGCAGAGAGGGAAATAAAATTCTTTTTCCCAGACTTCTCATTCTACGATTGGTACAATAATGATGAAATACGGTACAGAAAAGGGCCAATTATATTTAATCATTATTTATTTCAACATGTAAGAAAGTTGTAGACTTGGTCATGTGTGTTTTTTAGTACAAAATGGTGATTTATAGTTATATTTAATTGTGAAATATTTATGTTATACATAAATTTTGTTAAGATATTATAGAAATTAAATTTCTACTCAAGAAGTCTGGTATATCGTTTTCAACATTAATACCTACCATATCTCTTAAAACTTATATTATGATTTAAGGGGAAGAGTTGATAGCCGGCCAGACCATTCGTCGTTGATAGCAAACATGATCTTTGTTTTGTTCATGTTCATCCTAAGACCTAATCGTTGGGAGACACTATTGAGGTCATTGAGCATGGTGCTTAGGTCCTCCAGCGATTCTGCCATAAGGACTATATCGTCGGCAAATCGAAGGTGAGTGATGTACTCGCCATTGATGTTAATACCGTATCCTTTCCAGTCCAGAAGCTTGAAAACGTCTTCCAATGCAGCGGTGAAGAGTTTCGGGGACATAACGTCACCCTGTCTTACACCTCTCTGCAATTGGATAGGTTTCGTACTCTCGTTCTGTACTCAGATAGCCATCGTAGCTCTACTGTACAAACACTTCAGCACTTCGATATACGGACAGTCAACTTGGCACCACTGAAGGGACTGCAGCACCGCCCAAATTTCGACGGAATCAAAGGCTTTCTCATAGTCCACATACGCCAGACATAGTGGCAAATTGTACTCTTCGGACTTCTGTACAACTTGCCGAAGGGTATGTATGTGGTCTATGGTGCTAAAGCCCTTTCGGAAACCGGCTTGTTCGGGAGGCTGGAAGTCGTCAAGTCTGCGCGCAAGACGATTCGTAATGACTCTCGAAAACAACACGTAGACGCGGCTCAAAAGGGAAATCGGTCTGTAGTTCTTCAAGAGAGCGTTGTCACCTCTCTTGAAGAACAAGACCACCGCACTTCTGCTCCACGCCTCCGGTGTAATGTCACCTTGGAGGACGGAATTAAAGAGCTTCTGAAGGACTTCAAGTACCGGTCTTCCTCCGTTGTAATTCCATCCTCGCCTGGGGCCTTGCCGTTTTTAAGGTGCTGGAGAGCCATTCTAATCTCGCTCAGACTGACGTCCGGGATATCTTCGGAATAGTGTCGGATAAGACTCGCTCTAGGATCGTTACTCACACTTGCGTGTGGCTCCAACGATGACGTGTAAAGCTGCCCATAGAACCTCTCAATCTCACTCAAAATCTCAGGTGCCCCGGAAACGATGCTGCCACACTCGGTCTTCAGCTTCGACAGTTGGCTCTTTCTGTCGAAGCTGAAGACCGAGTGTATAAGTTAGTAATGTTAAGTGTTAATTCAGTAGCTACCATATATAATATATATGGTAGATACTGAACTGATATAATATATTATATACCATCATCATTGCATCCTGTTAAAAGTAGACCTCTCCTATAGAATACCACAAAACGCGGTCTGTACTACCAGAATCAAACAATTTCCAGGCCATCACTACATAATATAGTGCCGGTACTTGCCGGTTCAAACATTTTTCCCCGCCAGTTATTTATTTATTATTCTTTATTGATATTGTATTCCCTGTTACAAATTAATATAAAGAGCGGACTTAATTCCATGAGGCATCCTCTACCATTTAACCCTGAGTTGTGAGAATTTGATAGCACTAAGTAAAAAAAAGGGATCAGTTTTTCGAGCTATTTGCCAGCCCATTGCAATGTGAGCGTACTGATCCGTTTGGCTATGTCGGTTACTCTGGTTCTTTCCTATATAAAAAAGTACTCTGTGTCTGGTTCTGCTGCAGATATCCTCAAACAGTAAGTCTATCACATAGAGAAACACCGACCCCATATACCTAGTCAGGTCATAAGTATTGTCACACAGTAAAAACTTTTCTTTTAGAATGCTGGCCACAAAAAAGTTTATTGAATTCGAATTTCGGATTGTTCATGAAAATAAAACTGTATACTTTTTAGAATTTTACTCATTTTTAAATATGAAGTGGACGCTTAAAGAAGACCGTGTTGCAGTTATTGCGTTGCATCGTTGCGGTTACGCGCCAATTCAAATTTTTGACATACTGATAAATTTGAATATAACCAAAAGATTCGTTTATCGTACCGTCAAACGATACAATGACTCTAGTGTAGATGACAGGTCAAGAATTGGTCGCCCTCGGTCTGTTAGGACTCCAGCAGTGATAAAAGCTGTGAAGGCACGAATTCAAAGAAATCCCAAACGTAAGCAGAAACTGTTGGCCCTTCAGATGGGGTTAAGCAGAACCACGGTGAAAAGGGTGTTAAAGAAGACTTAGGGCTTCGGGCATATCGAAGAAAAACAGGACATCGTTTGAATGCTCGTCTAATGGACCTGAGACTGAAGAGATGCCGCGCTTTGTTGAAGCGGTAGGCGGGAAAAAAATATCGGGAAATTCTTTTTTCGGATGAAAAAATTTTTACCGTAGAAGAGAGCTACAACAAACAAAATGATAAGTACACAGTAGTGAAGAAGCGAGCAACCGTATTCCGCGTGTCCAACGATATCATTTTCCATCCTCGCTCATGGTATGGTTGGGAGTTTCTTATTGGGGCTTAACAGAGGTACATTTTTGTGAGAAAGGTGTAAAAACGAATGCAGTTGTGTATCAAAATACAGTCCTGACGAACCTTGTGGAACCTGTTTCTCATACCATGTTCAATAACAGGCACTGGGTATTCCAACAAGATTCGGCGCCAGCTCATAGAGCGAAGAGCACACAAGACTGGCTGGCGGCGCGTGAAATCGACTTCATCCGGCACGAAGACTGGCCCTCCTCCAGTCCAGATTTAAATCCGTTAGATTACAAGATATGGCAACACTTGGAGGAAAAGGTGTGCTCAAAGCCTCATCCCAATTTGGAGTCACTCAAGACATCCTTGATTAAGGCAGCCGCCGATATTGACATGGCCCTCGTTCGTGCTGCGATAGACGACTGGCCGCGCAGATTGAAGGCCTGTATTCAAAATCACGGAGGTCATTTTGAATAAACTTTAGTGTCATAAGAATCTATGTTTTGTTAAGTTCATTTTGGTATATAAATGGTTACATAATGAATAAACTTGTTTCAATTATTTTATATTAAACATGTGACAGAATTTATGACCTGACTACAAAATGCTCAAAATTACCTATTTAGATCACTGTTGACAAAGGCCTATAGAGTTCAAATCTAATACTTAAAAATGAAAAACATATGGACACAGTGTATATATCGTTCTTATTATTCAGTTTATGAAATATCTTTTAAATTGGTCCAATATTACATGAGGAAATGGTAGAGAGCCAAACCTCGAATTATGCCTTTTTATTTAGGCTATTCGGTCGAATCTGCAGTTGTCCTTATCGGACGTCGAGCGCTCGCAGAGCGACAGCGATAGTTCCTTCAAATGCCTAATTTTTAGTTTCTCGGCCGGCATTTCCCGATACAGTAGAAAAACTTAATGGGGGTAACTTTTCTTAAAAGTTGTCACTTTTGGCTTATGAGTTTGCAACCGCAGTTTTTTTTATTTCATAATTTTTATTAGAGAGATGCTGCTGACAATGTCCTGCTTTATTTCCCTCTGTTGCCTCTTGCGCCACGTACGGGACAATATGGGACAGCGGATATTCTTAGACCGCCTCTACACGGTAATTTAATCGTTTACATATTAAATAGTATTATATAAATAATTTATGAGATAATCTATGAAGTTTAAATAAAACCTAGTTTTTACGGATTTTATCGCGTATATTAAAGCACCCTTTCGTCACGGAGCGGACTGAAGTATTCGCAGTCTCAATATCACAGTTAACCCAAAAAAGATCTCAAGCAGATGGTATCACCCAGCCATATTTTCAGTTGAAATTAGGATGTTTTTTGACTTCAATAGCCTCGCGAATAATACGTGGAAGGAATCGGTGTCCTTTAGGAAGGATTTATGGTCTATCAAATTTGGTGTAGTGTCACCCAGCCATATTTTCTGTTTGAATTAGGATGTTTTTTGACTCCAATAGCCTCGCGAATCATACTTGGAAGGGATTGGTGTCCTTTAGGAAAGATTTGTGGTCTATCAAATTTGGTGTAGTGTCACCCAGCCATATTTTCTGTTTGAATTAGGATGTTTTTCGACTTCAATAGCCTTGCGAATAATACGTGGAAGGAATCGGTGTCCTTTAGGAAGGATTTATGGTCTATCAAATTTGGTGTAGTGTCACCCAGCCATATTTTCTGTTTGAATTAGGATGTTTTTTGACTTCAATAGCCTTGCGAATAATACGTGGAAGGAATCGGTGTCCTTTAGGAAGGATTTATGGTCTATCAAATTTGGTGTAGTGTCACCCAGCCATATTTTCTGTTTGAATTAGGATGTTTTTTGACTCCAATAGCCTCGCGAATCATACTTGGAAGGGATTGGTGTCATTTAGGAAAGATTTGTGGTATATCAAATTTGGTGTAGTGTCACCCAGCCATATTTTCTGTTTGAATTAGGATGTTTTTTGACTCCAATAGCCTCGCGAATCATACTTGGAAGGGATTGGTGTCATTTAGGAAAGATTTGTGGTATATCAAATTTGGTGTAGTGTCACCCAGCCATATTTTCTGTTTGAATTAGGATGTTTTTTGACTCCAATAGCCTCGCGAATAATACGTGGAAGGAATCGGTGTCCTTTAGGAAGGATTTATGGTCTATCAAATTTGGTGTAGTGTCACCCAGCCATATTTTCTGTTTGAATTAGGATGTTTTTTGACTTCAATAGCCTTGCGAATAATACGTGGAAGGAATCGGTGTCCTTTAGGAAGGATTTATGGTCTATCAAATTTGGTGTAGTGTCACCCAGCCATATTTTCTGTTTGAATTAGGATGTTTTTTGACTCCAATAGCCTCGCGAATCATACTTGGAAGGGATTGGTGTCATTTAGGAAAGATTTGTGGTATATCAAATTTGGTGTAGTGTCACCCAGCCATATTTTCAGTTGAAATTAGGATGTTTTTTGACTTCAATAGCCTTGCAAATAATACGTGGAAGGAATCGGTGTCCTTTAGGGAGGCTTTGTGCTCTATCAAATTTGGTGTAGTGATGGGGGCCATTCTATACCTGTTCACAGACTGTAGAATTCCTGGAGCGTCAATTCTTCACATCAGCTATGTGTTCTTTTACGCTGGTTTACCTCTTATATAGGAAAAGTTAATATACGCAATAAAATCCGTAAAAACTAGTTTTATTTAAATGTGTAGTGTATGCGTAAACATAAGAAATCATCATTTATGAAGTGTCAATTTCATCAGTGAATCAAATCAATTTGAAAATTAGATAAACATGTATTTAAAATTCCAAAACACTGTATACCATATAAACAAATGTCATTATATTAATTACAAGGAAACATACAACATACAACCATTAATACTAGAAATACATTACAAATTAACTTATATAGTTTTTTATCACAAGAATTTACCATTTTAAAATATTAATCTCTATGTTTATACTATACAGGACGGATTCATTATATTATAGTAAAATACAAGAAATTTAGCTTGAGATCTTCAGTATTTTGTTGCATAATCAACATCGTCAGGTTAAAGTTGAATTTACTTCATTAATTTATGCAACATTCAAAAATTTGTTCTTTACATCTTACACGGAACTGATAGTGCATACAAAAAAAACTTCTCACTCTCCTATTTTAACAAAAACCTTTGGTCTGGAAAACACTTTAATGCCTTCTTCTAACTTTGCTAGTTGCTTCTCTAACTCCATCTTTCTGTTCCGCATACGCAGTGTGTCCGTCTTCACTGGCATTTTATTCAGTTCACTCACTAGTTCTGCAAAACCTGAAAGGAAATATGTAAGATACCTTCTCCATTGTTAAATAATGACTTGAAGAATGATAAAATTTGATTTTTTTAAATAAGGTAAGTGCATGTTGTGGCCTATAGATATCTACATCTATTCTCGATTAAGAATCATAATGCAGACGTGCTGTCACTACTGAAGACTATAATGGAATGCATCATTAAAGGAAAAAACAGTCTCTGGTTCTCTATACTCATCATACAAAACACAGCATTACTAATGTATAGCTATACTAGGTAAAAATGAAAGAGAAAAGAAAATTACATTTGTTATAATTAATAATGGTCACTGGGAATATATATGCCATTGTCATCACACTTTACACCTGGCGCCTGCAGTTTTTTATTGCGGTGTTATCAGGAAGATGCTGATGTGCATATCCGTTTTTAGTTTACTTCTGTTGCTTCTTATGACACCCGCGGCATGATATTGGGCAATGGATTATCTAGTATACTTATAACTTAATTGAACCTTATAATTCAAAGTTGTTATTTATATAAAAGTAAGCATGATCAGATGTGTAATCACCATGAGGACTAAAATGGAATTATTAAGGGTCAAAAATTATTCAACTGTTTTATGCAAGTACTCTGTGAGAGTGTGGTCCTTCCCCATTCTAGCCAACCTACATGATTGTTGCACAGATGTGATCATTTGTGCCACAACAGGAATTATTTAGATTTTTTTAAAACCTTTTATAACATTTTCTATTATTGCACTACTATAGGCAATCCTCTGTCCTTACAAATAAAAATCAAAGCAGCCTAAAATTTGTGGAAACCCTAAAGAAATTTCTAATAATTTTTACTCATTAAAAGCTAAAAAAAAAATGGAGATGTACAAACTATTTCTAAGCATCCGTAATGTCTCTTTCCTCTCAGTGTCGGGTAAGGGCACATGGCCTGGGGGGCAGGATGTAGGATCGTCAGCTTTCGCATCTTCCATCTCTTTAGAATCTTGTTCTTTGCGTTCTCGTAAATACTTTGGGAGAACACCCTTCTGATAACCTGAAATTGCAAGAAAAAAGCAATACAGACATAGCCATTATTTTATGCAATAAGATTGAAAAACTTTGGAGAAGACTGGCAGAAGTGACCTATGAAACTAGTTTTATGAAATAAGTTAATAAGAATAATTTATTTTCTATATTTTTATTTCTATTAATCAAAGTAGTCATCCATGCAATTGATGCATCTTTGCCAACCCAGTGACAGTTTATTGATGCCCTTCTTGAAGAAATTAGCTGGATGAGGGGCAACAAATTCTCCAAAGGTATTTTGTACTGCCTCTAGGGCAGCAATTCCTAGTGGGTTCTGCGGAACCTACGGGTTTCCTAAAAAAGTCACCAGGGTTCCACAAAATTATTTTTATTGCACATACAACTGTCAGACATAAATCCGAACTATAAAACAATTATTGATGAAACAATGAAGCAATTTCATTCTTCACATTAAAAGCTATGTAAAGAATAAAGTGTCTTTGATTTGTAATCATTGATATGGGGTTCCATAAAATAAAAGGTATTTAGTGGGTGTTATCTTAAAAGTTTAGGAACCCCGCTCTAGGGTAGTTTTTTATTTTTTCCCACCAAAAGTTATCTATGGACCCTGCTAGAATGCAGATCTCTCCTCCGCTATACTGCACCTCACCCCATCAGTACTAAACTTGGACTGACTATTTAGCATGACGTCATTTGACAGATCTACATATATTTCCAATAGGTTGTACTTATTTACCATTACATCTAAGCTGAAAATGCTTGTGCAATTTGTCTCTCAAAGCTAAAAATACCTGGATCTGGAAATCCAAACTCAAAACTTTTAGTTACAGTCTAATAAGTTAATCATTAAACTATTGTCACTTGCTAACAAAGAATACTTAGTAACTAAAGAAAACTTAACAAGTTACCTGTTGGTAAATAAGGATCTTTCCCTTTTCTTTCTAGAATAGCATTTAATCTACTATGAGTTTTATCTATTTCTAATGAACTATCGCCAGCTCGTCCAGAATTTCTTTGGATGGGTGATGCATTTATGTGCCTAGCTGAATCACCACTTGCTTTGACTTTAGTTTCACTATCCTCCGATTCTTTGTTAGGGTAGAGCATAGTTAACTTGGTGCATTCAGCTAATTTCTGTGCTAGATTTGATTCAATGGTTTGGCATCCAACATCTCTTACACGGCCTGATGATACCACTTCCTCTTCTTCAGGAGTTTCATCTACTGTGTGGGCCTGTCTCAGTTCTTTCCTCTTTAAAAATTCAGCCATATCGCCTTTTTTAATTCGTATTTCTGGGCGCCTTTTTCGTGAATTTGGTGAAGTGCTTTTAGCCACATTTAGCGATGGACGACTTTTGCCGGACGATGAAGATTTAACCTGGTCTAGAGAACTTGCTGCAGCTGTCGAACTTATTTGACGCGTTTGGTGAACTTTTTTCGTTGGTAACTTTGGTTCTTTCGGTGATTTACCCTGAATAAATTTAAGTTGTTTCATATTTTCCTTAATATAATTCTTTTTTTGCGCTTTCTCTGAAAATAATGATAAATATTTGTTTAACATATCCCCTTTCTCTGAATGAAAAAAAGTTACGATGGCCGTGCCAAATTGAAAACAACGAATTTTAAATGACACTTACTGGGCTCTGGGAAAATACCTTTCAAAGTATACATTATCAACAAGCTAAGAATTCTAAATACAGCAAATATTCACTCATTATTTTGCGGTCATTTTATATTTTAACTATTTAATGAACTACAATATTTAACATTTTTGCACTTCGAATAATCTATAACAAATCCTGTGACTTTTGTATTTGGCGTTCTGTTTTGGTGGTCACGTTTATTTTTCAAACTTCTGTCAAATCAAAAGGCCATAGCTAATTTTATTTCCGGCCATGTTTTTTTTTAAATTTGTTATAATATTAATTTAAAATTGAATATGAAAAGTGAAAACAAGCAAAGTACATACAATATTCTACGCAACGTATTTCAGGGTTTCTATTATAACGTAGTGATTATATTATTCTTGGCCTAAACATAATGATAAAGTTATCTGTTTTTGATAACATCAAATCTAATTTAGACACGCAGCTTAGAGGTTGATTAATGATAGTTTACGTATACTTTGTATAAAATTTAATCGTGGTGATTAGACATCTGACTGGTCTGCCTGGTGCCTATACTCTTAAAACGTTGTGATTAATCTCTATGAATAATATTTGGCAATGTTACAAGGCGCGAATATATATATTTTTTAAAGCGCATAAAAAGTGTGTGTGCTATCGCAAATATATCGAGCACCGAAAGCTGTAGATCACAGTTTCAAAAATGAAAATTATTGACATATCCCGAGCTCTATATTTATGAAATTGTGACATTTATAAAAACTAATCCTGAAGTATTTAATTATTATTTTTAATAATAAAGAATCGACGTGAAAATTAAATTCATACAATTTCATCAAAGACAGCTTTCCTTAGAATAAACGTTTTCGGTATATTATCTAAAATCTACAATAAAGTGCCATCTATGTTTCATGAAATGGAAAATATTAAATTTACATTTATTTATTTAAAGAGTTTAAAACATTTCAAATTGAGAAATGCTACTGCTCAAATGAATATTTATGCGATGCATCAGTAGGCACGATATAATGAAATTGCAATCATTTTTTGACATTCGATTAGACTAAGGCTTCGGGAAAACTGAGGCGAATCCCGCGCGGAACGCGGGACGCGAATCTACGCGATTCACTCCCTCGCTTAGCCTCTCAAATTAGAGCGAATCCCGCACGTCATTATTTTTGGTTTCTCAACAGGAAAACAAGTCTTTTGATATCGAAGCTGAGGTTTTGTTGTTATTAGCATTAACTGAAGAAGATTCTCGAGACGTTTTTTTTAAAGGATAAGGGTGACAAACGAGCACACAGTTCACATGATGGTAATTGGTTGCTGTGGCCCATAGACATCTACATTTATCCTCGTTTGCGAATCAAAATGCAGATGCGTTGTCACCCGCGAGGACGACTAAGATGGAATGCCTCTTTTCCAGTAAAAAGGGTCTGCGTTTCTTTACACTCACCATAATAAACACAGCAACGTAAAGCTGCTATTTTACGCAGGTATTCTGTGAGAGTGTGGTGCTTCCCCGGTCGAGTCGATCCATTCTTGATACAACTATATCACTAATATACCTGCAGCGTGGCTCTACCATGTGATGTACGAGATGTGAGGACGAAAGAAGAAAATGGTTCATGAGCTGAGTACTATTTTAGGAAAAATAATTCAAGGTTCAACGGCATTTCGAAAATCAGGCCTATCCCGCGTATATTTCGCTGCAGCACGTGGGACTATTCGCGCCAATGTGAATTGTGAACACATCCATACAAGTTAGCTGACGCGATCGGCGCGAGCGAATCGCGTCCCGAGTCCCGCGCGGTATTTGCGTCAGTTTGGCCGAAAATTAAATATCCTCTTCTAATTAAAATATAATTTAGTAACATCGTTTTATATTAAATGTCAATCAATGTCAATATAATTTATGTTGAACATTCTAATATATTTATAATATAAATAATATACATAATGAAATAATTTAATTAGGACGGCTCCGTGGCGTATTGGCTTAGCAATCAGTTGTTGCGCTGGGGGCCGCGGGTTCGAATCCCGCACGGAACAAGTATTTGTATGGCCTACAAATAATTGTTCCGGGTCTGGATGTTTGTCCTTGTGCAATTTATGTTTGTAAATTGCCTCCACGACACAGGAGAAAATCCTAGTGTGGGGGTAACGTTTTTAAAAAAAATAGAAAAATAAAAAAAATATAATATAATATTTGTATACCTAAAATATAAATGTAGCGAACATCATTCTTTTAAGATCTATTCTGTCTCATTACCGGCATTCACAAATAAATAAATACATTTGAATTGGAATTTGAATCTTAAACTTCATTGGTAATCAAAAAACACTATTTCTCATAGTGATTACATACTATTTGACTACTCTGTGATAAAAAGCTTTTGGCTCTGATTAAAGAGTAGTTATAAAATCACTCTCCTCGCCAATTTCATAACTAACTAAGGCTTTATCGTTCAGAGGCAAATACATACAACTCCTCATAGAGCAACACGGGCCAACAACATATCGGAGTGGAGTACCCATACGCAGGCGTTTCCCTCTGTCAAAGGACTTAATCCAAAGGTCCTATGGGTACAATAAAACTATTTGCATTCGCATTGCATCTTAGACTAAATCGAGTTGCGCGGCTGAATCGATGTCCTACAAAAATGCCGAATTGTTCAGTTTTTTGCTGCAAAAAGATATCTGCCACGTAAAATTTACAAAAAGATGCGTTAGCTTTCATATATAGGTAAGTAATATTGAATCACATTACTGCTCCTTACTTCTTTTTAACTTAAACATTACAATAATGACGGGCGTTTCAGATTTGTTTACCAACACGGGCTGTTCGCCCTCATACAATTTGCAGTTCGGTCGAACGACTGATCCGAGTGTGTATCCGAGTTGTCGCTGTCACTGTGTGTATGAAATTGTTAGTTTATTGTTTTAATTGGTGGTGCAAAAATGACCGAGTATCGGGGAAAAACGGTATGGATACTCACCTCCGGTGCGCCGTTGGCCCTTGTTGCTCTATGCAACTCCTACATAGTTATTTAATGCATGTGCTACAACGTGTTGATTATAAACTCTTTGGTTAATAAAGCATTCAGTTATTTTAAATCTCTTTGGTCGTTATTTTATGTTATAGATAAAAATAAGTTAATTATTATAATACTAAAGTCATAAACATAGTTAATTACTATATAATATAATATAAAGATTTAATTATAACAACAAGTTTTGAATTATTTAATGAGGTTGAGTATTTTTTTTATGAAAATCAGATTTAAGGGACGATCGTATTTGCACTTTGAACAAAGTAAATATGTTCGGTGCTACAAGTAGGATTTCTTTTTATAATAATAAGCATAAATTATCAAGGAGAGGTAAAAAACTAAATAATTTTGATGAATCTAAGATTATAATGATGTTACCTAAGGATATACCTGATAGAACTTGGTAAATTGAAACACCATATCATTGATTACATGAATTATCTTAAATAAATTGGTGCTTAATGATTGTTTATATTTAGGGTTGAAATCTTACAAAAAGAAGAAAATGATTTATTCATTTTTGATATCCGCGAAGAAATTCTTGAAAATGCTCTAAGAATTGGATATATGCATTATATGGAGAAACAGACTGTTACATTTACAGTGCATTGTGCTGTGAAAGCTTGGCTGAAACTCATTGACTGGTATTTTAAATCTTGTATTCACCCCTTCGATGGATACCAATTTAGCCATCTCTTATTATGTTAGTTAAAATTTATCCTGACCTACGACAGGGAGTAACGACCTTGGTATGAAGTGATCGATTGCTGCTATTGCCAATCCAATTGTCAAAATATTTTGCGATGTGTTTGTCTATGTTTTGCGATGGATTTTACGGGCTCATGAAGAAAAACACAAATATTTAGTTTTTGAATTACTTAATGTCTATTTTTCCGGACTTCATAGCTGCTTCTTAAGCTAGCTGCTCTTTAAGACTCCACCTTCATTGAAACAAAAGTGCCCCCGTGTTCATTTACACACGGTAACTTTTATTTACGCGTAGTAAAAAGGCATCATTTTATCATATAAAAGTCCACAGCTGAAAATAATGTCTCTCCCATTTTCCTCCATTCTGCGCTTACTACTTTTTCTTAACCAGAGTTTAAAAGTGAGAACTTACGTTCTTTATCATCTATTCTCTCTGCGGCAGACATGTCCTGCCCATGCCTATTTCAGGCAACCAAGCCGAAAGATCGTATTGAAGAAGCGATTGAGCGGAACCAATGGTCAAAATTTATCGTAAGAAATCTGTTTGCCGGAAAGTGCCAACTGTCAATGTTGAAGATCGACAGAGGCAGCGTCAATTCTAGGACTGCCGAGTTTTTGACTGAGATTGTGAGGTTCTACGGGTATGCATGTTATCCTTGGTGACACACGCAAGTGTGAATATCATCCAAGAGTGAGACTAATCTGACACTATTCCGATGATATCCTGGATGTTAGTCTGAGCGAGATTAGAATCGTTCTTCTGCACCTTAAAAACGGCAAGAACCGGGGTGGGATGGAATTTTAGCGGAGTGGAACTGAAATCTAGTGAAAACCGGTACTTAAAATCCTTCAGAAGCTCTTCCATTCCATCCTCAATCGTGACACTGCTCCGGAGGCGTGAACGATCTATTGAAGAACTACAGGCCGATTTACCTTATGAATCACGTCTAAGTGTTGTTGTCGAGAATCATTTCGAATCGTCTCGTACATAGGTTTGACGACTTCCTGCATCCCGAACAAGCTGGTTCCCGAAAAGACTATTACCATTGACCACATACTTATTCTTCGACAAAATGTACAGAAGGCCGAAGACCACATACATATCCTTCGACCAATTGTACCGTCGAAATTTGAGCGGTTTTACAGTACCAATAAGCGGTGCCAAGTCGACTGGTATATAAAAATGCTGAAGTGCTGATACAGCAGGGCTATCTGAGTACAGAACCAGAGGTGTAAGGACAGAGTGACGTTATATCCCCGAAACTCTTCACCGCTGCATTCACGA